GCCACACTCAAGAGGCTAGGTTTATGAAACAAATAATCAGTGAGATAAATATGGATCTTAAAGATGTGAACTTTGTGCACCCACTTTGTTGCTTTGGGTAAGCAAGGCACTCAATCAATGTTCTGATGTGTTGCTCAAGTTTTGATCTTTGAGCTCCTCCTCCAATGGGTTTTGTCGATTTCGGGTAGATTTGTGTTAATTGTCTGACACTCCGTTGGCGTAGAAATTGGTGCAAAATTTTGCTTTCATAGGTGATATCCGGAGGCACTTGAGTTGAGATACAGGGGAAATTATGTTTCGACTACCAAGTACACGGCGATGAACTTCATTCCAAAGTCATTGTTTGAGCAGTTTATGAGGGTTGCAAATATATACTTTCTCGTTGTAGCTTGGGTTTCGTAACTTCGTTCAGTCCGTTGGCCCCCTTTAGAGCTGTTAGTGTAGATGTGCCGTTGATAGTGGTGATCGGAGCTACTATGGCTAAGGAAGCCATTGAAGATTGGAGGCGAAGAAAGCAGGTAAACATTTTTGCAGGATTGGTATTACTAGTTATTTGAAGTTGTATAGCCATATTTGAAATAGGGCTCGTTTAGGAACTGCTTTTAAATGACTGAAAGCGCTTTTACAAATTATCTGTAAAGAATATAGGGTGTAGTTGCATTTGAATTGTGCTATATGCAGGGAAGGTTTAGAATATGTAGCCATTTTGGTTGTTGTAGGATCAATGCTATTAGGAAGTAGCTCGAAATTAATATTTTGGTTGTTTTTTTTATTTGTTTCTCCTAATTGAATTGGAAATAATGAAAGTAAGTGAGGGCATAAAGGGTAAAAAATTATCATTCCGATTGCTTGGGCAATCCGAAATCCAATTACCTTGTATATGTTGGGAATCCAAATCCTCCAATTTCAGGAATTGGATTCCATTTTTTGTGTGTTCTCCACGCACTTTTGATTCCTCCCAATTTTAGTAAACACAGGTATAATCCGTAATCCGATTCCGATTACGGGTTAGTAAACGCGCCATTAGTGGCTTACACTAAACCTACCTCTTGCAGAGTCATTTCTTTATTTTTGAGAGGGGTTAGGTCATCTTCAACCGACTTGGACAAAGGGTCATAGGACTAAAAATAACTCAGAATGACACGAAAACCGTCTTCAACCAAGGGCTAGGCCAAAGGGCTTGTGAGCCCCACCAGGCCAAAACCCCCAAATCAGGCCAGCGGGCTGTCCATATCCAGCCCTCCAACGCTAGAATGTCAAGCTTGACATTTTGCCAGCCCTCTAGCTCAACCCATTTGAATGCCAACGGCTACCTAACGTCATGTTACCATCAGGTTACCGTTGGAATTTGAATTTTTTTTGTTGACGAATTTAAAAAAAAAAAATTCTAATTTTTTTTTCCTATAAATACCTAGGTCATTCCTACACCATTTTTCACACTTTTCACTTTAGCAACATGTGTCACTTGAAATCTTATCAAAAAATTATTGAGATTACATAAAGATAAGAAATCTGTAGTGTTACTCACATTAGCTACACATGTCACTCGAAATCCTATCCAAAAAATTATCGAGATTACATAAAGATAAGAAATCTGAAGGCTTATTCATTGGGCGACAAATGGCACTCACAATATATCCAAAAATCTTATTTTAATATGGTAGTTTAATTTAATTAACTATATTAATTCAATTAAAATAATAAATTATGTTTGACCTATGACCTTTTGGTCTCCTTGGTTGGAGATGTTTTCTACCAAAGGGTTATGTTTGGCGTATGACCTTTTAGCCCCCTCGGTTAGAGATGGTATAAAATATGATCTGACACTGTTTATTAAAATATAATTTATTGCTGAGCTGTAGAGCTAAAGGGAGCCCTTTGACCCTCCTCGGTTGGAGATGGCCTTAGTACAGGAATCTAAGTTCTAACTAGTTTGATATGTTTAAAGAACAGTTGTGGCATTATTAATATAATGGTAATGTAAGTTCAGCCCGGACCCTACAAACTCACCAGAAAACATATGAATTCATCCTGCATTCAGACGCTAAAAGTCTAATGGCACATTCATAATCCTTTGCACACGATTTTAGAATGCAAAATTATACACCAAAACCTCTCACTCGCAAAATGGACCCGATAAGTGTGACAGCAGTGATTAGAGCATACACAGATTCCATCAGGTTGCCAACATCCTTCCTTCTGAATAGAAAGCCGATGCCTATATGATACAAAGGAACCTTTGCTTACCGAGAAAAAAGGATAAATGGAAGCCGTTTGTATGCTCCAATCAATTCGGCTACCTCAGTGCATCAACCATTCTGCAATCATGTTTCTTACGCCGACATCTGTGATGGGACTTTTGATCCGCGAATGTATTCTCCCCCACTGTCTCCATCATAGAATCAGCATCTGAAGCAACAAGGGACGCATCAATATATATATCCAGTTGAATCAAACAATTTGGAAAACCTGAGGTTACGATTCTCATGAATACAAACACAAGCAAAAGACCTAAACAAATTACAAGATTCTGTGATTTCCCAAACTACTTGACATTCTTCTTCTTCTTCTTCTTCTTCTGCTGATCATTTTACTATTTTCTCGTATCCATATATTTGCCCACCCTTAGGCCCTAATTGCCTACGTTGATAAGCTGATAAATCAAGACTGGAACACGAGCATCTACCCGTGGGTTTTCATTTTAGATCATAATATTGTTCTTTATAACACCGGCATAAAGAGACTAAAACAGTGCAAGCAAACACCCTGATCATTTTAGATCATCTTACTCCAAAAACGAAAGTCGGTCTTATCACTCAATCCTGACCATAAAGCTATGTCCTTGCTTGTCCAGATTATCTCAATCTATAAACTAGTAATGCAGAAACAACTTCATCGTGTGCCCGTTCTGATTACTGCCTACCATATTCAAATACTGAAATGCATCACTAATGATGCCACTATATATATGTTCAAAGTTCAAACCAAGATCCTGCTAGTTTACTAACCGAGCGTTAGAGCAAGCGGCAAAGCCTTCAATTTAGTGGCTTACCCCCTCATCCTAACCTTTCATTTCTGCCAAAATCTTCTATGTTCAGATTCTATCAACAAGCAAACTTGAATATCAAAACTAGAGCACAATGCAGAGAACTATAGCTAACAAAAATCACCAATCTCGTTCCCGAAACATTAGAATGAAACTGTATCATTGCACAAGTGAAAAAGATGTACTCAAATCCATATAGGAAAATCCGAAATGCTTCGTTGTGCTTCAAATTAAAGTGTTTGGACTAAATGTACCTCCAAATTGATCGCCCCAAAACAATACCCGAGTATCCTCCTCCTCCTCATCAAACTCATCGCCATAGCCGAACTCCGCGTCCCCGCGATAACCCGGTTCACTGCCGTACCCGGACTCATTCCCCTGAGCATCAAAACCCCCAATGGGACCAAACCCAACACCCACATTCTCCTTCTCTCCACTCCCCCCACCTCCATCTCTCTCCTTCCTCGAATTCCTCGCCTCACTCACATCCGACGCCCAATTCGCATCCCCATTCCCAAACAGCTCCCCACTCGAGTCCGTCCCCACCGCCACCGGAAAATCCGAACACGTCCCATACGCCGCCGAAGCCCCAACCGAGCAGCACCTCCGGGTCCCACTCCGCTCACTACTCCTCCCGGAAACCGACCTCGACCCACGACGCCGCCGCTTCTTCGCGATGAACCGGAAGCTCCCGTTCCTAGTATGGTGTCCGCCGGAGATCGTCCTGTCGTCGTCGACCAAGGTAAGCCGGGACATGTCGATGGCATCGATAGAAAAAGAAGTCGTCCTGTTGGAGAGGCAGGGGCGCTTGGTGTGGACGAGGAGGCCACTGGATTTGGGATCGGAGGAGTCTAGGGTTTTGGAGGTGGGCGTGGAGGTCTGCTGCTGCTGCTGCTGCTGCAGCTGGAAAGGTCTCCAGCCATGGAGCTGGAACGCACAGGAATCGACGGAGTGCCGTGAATCCAGGGATTTGTGGGACATTGGGATGAGGATTTCAGTTTTTAGGGTTTAGGGTTTATGTAGGAGATGGAGGATCGGGTTCTTCAGCTTACTTGGATGACTTTCAGGATTTATCAGAGAATTTGGAGTTTCGGAGAAGACTGACTGTTTTTCTGGAAAATATGAATTTCTGAATATTTTATGTTTTTTAATTTATTTTTCTGGTGAAGGATGCAGTTCCCACGCGCGGGAATGTATGAAGTTGACACGTGTCGCCCAGCCTTGATATATTATTGTGTATTTTCTTCTTCTTTTTTTTTTTTTTCTTCATTGGAGTGAGATATATTATTGGTTGTAAATTCCTTGTTCTTTGTTTCACATTAAAATTCATTCGAAAACGGCTAGAGGTGTTCAACCATGTCATTTGTATGTCACTCCACACAAAATATTCCCTTTATCATAATCTCGTTTGTTTTTACTTAAGAGCATGGTCGGCTCTGAGAGAAGATAGTTATGGATCATTGTATAAAAACTCATGCTACAAAGCTAATTTATATGCAAATCAACAAAATTATGAAAATAAATAAAAAGAAAATTTAGAGCAAACCCGACAGAACCAAACTAAAAACATAAAAACAATTTCTCTAATGCATATGGGGGTCATATTTCTCCTATTCACATGCAGAACCTAAGAAAAATTCTCTAATCAAGTTAGTACATATGTAGAAGATATCATATTTTAGGTGCCCTTTAGGATTAACAGCCCTGAACAAGAGCACCTATTGCACATGCCCAAAACCGTCACAACTTATAAGAGCTACCCTAATCAGGCGCCATGCTAAAGAGTCACTGCTCACTCCAAACATGAAAGCTTAAATTTGTGAACTTTAATCTCATTTTCTAGTTCGGATTAGGAATTTGTCAAACTAAAGAAAAATGAGCTTTTTGTTCTCTAAAAGGATGATAATCTCCTTTACCTTATCAAAACTATGAAGAATGATTCAAACCAGTAATATACTACAAAAACAACAAATTCACTTCAGCCAATATTTCAATGGAAACGACTCTGACAGGAAGAAAAAGACAGAACATTCGATGAGTCTAGAAAGGGTAAAATTCGCAATCCGATTTCAAAACCTTAGCAACTAGTTAACAACTTTCAGTAATTTTCCTGGATGTAATGAGCATAACTGCGAACTCCGGTTGCATTGTTGCCAAACTGAAAGTTCGAAGGCTTGTGAAAGTCGAAAACATATGAAATTGGCCTCGAAACCACCATCGGCTTCTTTGTCGTGATTTTGTCTGGCAACTCCCCGAAGCTGTGGTGATCGAATGGAAATGACTCTGACAGGAAAAAGAAGCTTTCCCTGCCAAACTTTTCAACCTGAAACGAAACGATCATAACCAAATGTTTCAACCGATCATCTCATTGTCACAACCATGGTCGCTTTATTAACATGTTTATCTCTTTAACTTCTGAAACTATGAAATTTAGCAGGAAAAGAAAAATGCAGGATGTGAAAAGTTTGCAAAATAATTGGTTACCTGTAGCTGAGAAAACCTGATGTTGTTCATAGTGAGTACAACTCGAACTTTGTACAAGGCATCAGCTAACATTCGGATGGCAAGATACTCGAAGAAATTCTGCAAGAGAATCTTCTGTCTGTCCAGATTCTCACTGTATTTATCAAAATCAGGAAACCATAGCACGCACTTAACTTCGTTCCATGGAATCTGGTTCTCTCCTCCTTTGGACACAATTGTCTCATATGGGTGCTGCAGCCCCCACAAAATTTTGACACCGGTCAGTGATGGGTCAAATATGGTTGTATCCGACAAACTGGTGGTGGATACTACTTTCGATGGATCACAAAATTTAGCTAAATTTGAGGAAAATTCTAGATTGGTGTCATCCAATACGAGAATGCATCCATCTGAAGTCGGAAACAACTGTAGAAGTGATGTAGCTTCGGCTTCACCACCTTCTGGTATGCATAGAGTTGAGCTAGGTGATGGAATTGGTGGACCCTCATCATGAGAAAATAAGCAATTGTCTCCATATCGACAACCCTGTAATTATATGAAAGTAGATATAATGCAACAAGCAAAGTAACACGTGAAGAAAGATAGGCTTCAACTAAAACCATTTGGTACAGTTTAACATACTATACTTTCCAGAAAAGCTAATATATATCACAGCGAGAGTATCAATAAACCCATTCAATATAAAATAGATACAGAATACATTCAATTAAATAAAAAGTCCACTGCCTGAGAACATGGCCTAAGTTATTATTTTAAATTCTAAGTTTCTAACAGAAAAGTTGCGTGAGAAACTGATACAAGAAAGCAAACATCATGCGGTTTAAAGTTGTTGTCTACAGAAACTCATGCGGTTTATAGAGTTTTATTACTTCTACAGAAACTCCCAGTGTCATAAAACGGAAGATATTACTTATTCCATTAAAATTATAAGATTGTGTGCAAACCATAAGGTTGTAGTGCATCGAAGCAGCACTTGACCTCCAGGAACTTCTGTTTTCTGAAAATTTTTCCATATTGCACTTTTAGTTTTTTATGCATTATCTTGGAACAGAGAGTGCTTAGAAAATTTCATACCAAGACTTTTATGTCAAAACTACTGCATCACCGTACCATAAAAGTGCCAGAGCGACACAAAACCTTAAAAGGCCATACAGAGTTAAAGAAAAAAAAGTGCAAGCGCGATACCTGTGGCGAAGAGAAAAATTTGCATGGGGGTCTCCTTGCTCCAAGTGAATGAGAAAACTGGCATTGACTGCCATTTCTGCAGCTCCCATTGATAAAATATATACATATAGGAGGCTCATCAGCATCCAAAACCTGATTAGCAGATACATCTTCTGTATACTGAACTCGTATCTGTTAAAAAGGTAAGTAAGGGAATGTTCATGTGAAGGAAAATGCACACAAGGTATGCAGATGAAAGTACCTGTTTGTTTATTGTTGCCAACTTTTCAGCCACGTCATTGTTTCGGAAGGTATCTGGAGCAACAAAAGGTACAGAAATACATTTCTTTGTTTCACCAGATGGCTCAAGGTGCTGATCAGCTGAAGAAAGGGCATCCGTAGCTTCTTTTGGTTCTTGATATGCAAGGAGGCACGTATGCTCAAATTCATAAGGGTCATAGTAGGATGGAAGTCCATTAGATGTAGACAAAAATTTGGGCCGAAACCGGTGCACTGAATCTAGTATATCTTCATCTGCAAAGAAGGAAACTTGAAATAATTAATGCCACATTACTAATGCCACAAAGATTCCAGAATGATGGAGTAATGAGTATTGTCTGCAGAAGATTATCGTTAAGACTAAAGAATGTTGATAGGAATCATCATAGCAATGTACAACATACATATTTCAGATACATGTTTTAGTGACGACTGCACAAGATTATGCAAAAAGCACCAATCTTCTTCAACCTTTGGAAGCAGTACAGTAGTTGCTGTTGTCTCATCAAAAATTAGTTGCTTCAATTGCTCCACACGTTGCTTATCCTTTAGGGAAAAAAATGTTTAAATCATACACTAAAAACCTACTGGCAGTGGGCTGAATGTGTGTATATCAACAGGCATTGCAAAAGTGCATGCACATCATTACCTTGAAAACGCGTTGCCAAAATTGAAATGCACACAAATTTGCCATGAATATAGTCTCCTTCCTACCCCTTAGGGCAGTATTGTTCTCAGCTCCACAAAAGTAGCTGTCAGCATATTCTGAACACTAAAATTGTAGAATAAACTAAATCAATGGTCACTTCTCAAGCAATCAAGCACATCCACAAACTACAGATTTCATACCAAAATTTCATCTCCAAAAGGACGAACAATAGGTAAAGGCTGCGTATCCATTAATATTCCCAGAATAATTCCTTCGCGTAGCATTCCAATATCTCCAAACTTGAGTACAAGCAGAGAAGCATCAAAAGACAAGGAGAAACTGGCAAGCAAGCGCCCATAAAATGTAGGCTCATACCGGCCCCTTTGAAATGTTTTCTCCAATGCTTTCATTTGAACAAGCAATTCCAATGCATCTTCAACAACTTCAGGATATGGTGGATCTAGAGCCTTCAGCAATAAGCCTGGCACCAAAGCCCCCAAACGTTAGAAACACACCATAAATTCATGATAAAAGAAAATACTCAATGTAGCACTACATGCAGAAAATCACCTTAAATCGCGACTTCAAGTTTAAATCAGACCTAGCATGATACTGAACCAGATTGTATCGTTTCTTTTAAATGAAAACAAAAACAAAATTGTGACTTGCCAAACACAATTACCATCAAGAGACAAAGCATCGCAAAATTAGACCTAGCGTGATACTGAACCAGATTGTATTTTTTCTTTTAAATAAAACAAAAACAAAATTGTGACTTACTAAACACAATTACCATCAAGAGACAAAAGTATCACAACCTCAGTTAAAGACCACTCCAATGACTGTAAAGCAAATTATAAAAACCTAAAAGAAAGGATGAGCAAACTGACAAAGAAGTAAGAATGTATACCTTTGGGATCATTAATGGCTTTAGATTCAGCACAGCATATCTGAAGCACTTGCAGCCTCAATGATAACCTCAGTATAGACGGACCCTCGTAATCATCAATCAGGTTGAAAAATGGTCTAGTAACCAACCGATAAATCTGGCCATCACAAGTTCGACCAGTTCTTCCTTTACGCTGCTCAGCCTGCAGCATAAATCAAAGTAAGGAATCAAGAGACCAGAAAGAATATCATCCAGTTAGATTCACCCAATACCTGAGAACGAGAAACCCAAACAAGCTTTGCAGCTTCCTTCTTCTGAAAACTGTTCCAGAAGACTTGTAAAGATCGGCATGAATCAATAACATAGGCCACCTTGGGTATTGTTACTGATGATTCTGCAATATTGGTAGCCAGTATCACCTGTGCAAATTATTCTTTTCAGAAACAGCAACAAGTGTGATGAAAACTAAAGCATAACAGAGGAAAAATCAAATCCCAAAAACCTTTACCCGCCGGGGGGGGGGGGGGGGGGGGGGGGGGGGGGGTGGGGGGGTGGTTGCAGCTACAGGTACAATTGTGTCTCACAAAGGAAAGTATTTGCATTAAACTACCCTTATATATCATTATAATCAACAACAGAAGTATAGAACAAACAACCACATAAACAAAATATACTGGCGAAGTTATGATATCAAACATACTTTACGATGGGTTTTCCATATCTTCATACTCATGAGAGCTTGTTCAGTGTCAATGCTGCTATGTAAAATATGAACTTTAAAAGATGAACTAAACGTCTTCAGAAGGAACCATTGCTGCTCCAGTGCATAGTATGTAGGAAGAAAAATCAAAATGCTCTTCTCAATGTCTGGCTCATGGTCGTGAATATGCAACACCAAACGATGGATAAGTTGGTGCACTTCAGGCTTAATATCAGCTTGAGCCATTTTAGGACTTGCACCTGGACAATATTTTGAAGGAATCAACTCTGAGTCGATGTTGAGAAGTTCGGTGACCTGTTCAGGAAAGAATCACAGAACCATCACATATATAAAAGAAATGGGATTGCATATCTGAAGTCATGTGCTAACTGGCTCTCTGACTTTCAATTAGTCCAAGGCCACATTTTCATGGCTTAAACTTGATATTTTTGGAAGTTGACATAAATTAAATATAAAAATTACCATATATTCCAAAGCGCATTAGATCAATAGGATGGTGGCACCGAAAAATTTTAGCTTCCATCTTTGATATCTCTGTTTTATTAATCCTAATATACTTACCTATTAAATCTACTCAAAACTCTTATCTTATGTACTTACCTACTAAATCTCTTCAGAAAAATGAAAAATTATACGGAATCTTTTCTAGGAACTTTTATATACCAACACCATCATTTATTAGTTGGCAGACAACATTGTACTATATAAAGGCTATTCACATTTGTTATTTTCTTGAAACGTGCATCCGTTAGTTACCTCAGATGATCAAGGCAAGCAAACACATGCATCAATTAACCAAGGTGCCTTCAATTGAACATAATAAATTTCCAATAAAGATGCAAGTACATGCCTCTTCAAGATAAGAAACCCTTTTCTGAAAAATGGTATTTTGGCCGGTGGAAGGGATTGCAAGCACTTCCACTCGCTCACCCCTGCCAAGATCCTTAAAGTAATCCCTGTATCTCGCAATATCAGCAGTTGCAGACATCAACACAACCCTGAAAATTCATCAATCTATTAGATCCTCGTGTAACAGATTCCCGAGAAACCCTGCTTATATGTGCAATATGTAGTTGTGCAGTTCATAGATAATGTCAGAAACAGCCAAGCATAATGGCCTATAAATAGGAACAGTCCAAAAATCCATATATCGAAAAATTAAGACAAAAATAAAAGGGCAGGTAGATGTCAACCTCAAGTTGTTGTTCCTCGTCAGAAACTGCTTAACACAAACAAGAACAAGATCGGATTCAACAGATCTTTCATGCACTTCATCAAGAACAATGACCTTGTAATCAAGTGCATGCATCCCCTTATCTCGCATTTCATCCAATAAAACTCCAGCAGTTTTAAAAACAATCGAAGACCTGCGAAAACATTTGAGCCAAACAAATACATGAGCACAAACGTTATGCTGCTGCAACACAAACTCTGAAAGGAAAATTAGAACAATAACCATATCACACTGTACCTTGGCGATAAGTGCTTTGAATGGCCAATGTGATATCCAACCTCTCCACCAAGCTCGCAATTCCGAGCTTTCGCAACCATTTTCGCAACAGCAACGACTGCAAATCTCCTGGGCTGTGTGCATATAATTGGCTTCAAATTCGCTTCCAGAAGAAACTGAGGAACTTGCGAGCTTTTCCCTTTGATTAAACCAAACCAAACCAGCAGCAAAACAACACAAATTAACAACAAAATTACCAAAATAACGCCGTGACAGTGATCGCGTGCAAAAAATAAACAATAATAATACTAGAAAACAAAAAATTAAAGAAATGATGCGATTTCCGAACATTTTCACTAATTTTTTTTCTTGTCTCAGTTTTCTCGGGGACCAAACAGAAAGTAAAAGAAAATTACACGACGATATACAAACAGTTTAGCGATAACACCAAAAGCGTAGAGCCGTAGAGTAAAGAGAGCAAGTAGAGAATGTACGTACCGCAACCGGTCTCGCCAACGATGAGAGTGACGCGATTATCAAGGATTTTCTCGACGATCTTCTCCCGGAGCGCCATTACGGGTAGAGACGAGAATTTGGAGTTGGCAAACGACGACGACGAGGAGCTGCCGACCGACGACGTCGGGGACGGAGGTGACGCCATTGTACGAAGTTCAGAACGATGTCGTTTTCTCTCTGGTTAGCGAAAAGAAAGGGAAAGGACTGAGCAAATGAGTCGACGAGCAGGCGATTAAGTCTCCCGCGCGACCTTTTGTCCTCTTTCCGGAGAGAGGATCGGAGGCGGTAAGCTTTACGTGAGCTCGAGACTCCTGACGACTGAGGTTTTGATAAAGACAAACGAGTCAATGTATTTCCAATTTAGCATTGACTTCTTTCCAACTGTGGACCAATAGGGTTGCTGCGTTTGGGGTGTTTACGCTGTGATCGATGTAGGTGGAAAATGCTGGAATACTTGCTTGACAAGTCCATTGGGGAGTGTGGGACCGGGTATTGGGTTGCCGCACCTGGAAGGGACCCCAATCGTCATACTATTCAGTCGGTATACTAATCGTAACAATATAATTCGTTGAAAACACTTAATATACCAAAACGTATTTCTGACGTACCAAATATCTTCTAGGATTACATTATGGTTTTCTCGATTCACATTATTTACAAAGTTTCGCTATATTCGAAGTCAAGCTAACATAGTTTATCATTTTGGCTCAGTTAGGGGTTTCTTTTAACATGAGAAAAACTTTGTTTCGAGAAAAATTTAGATTTTCTCTTAAATGTTATTTTTATGTTCGTAGCCCTCTATTAATGCTAGACTCGATACTTAATTATTGCTTACTCAATTTGAAAATTAGCGCAAACTTCACTTTGTAAATATCATTGAATTTAACAAAAAAACAAATCTTTTATACCAATTTTTTGTAATTTCTCGAGTTAATGTTGATGTTACGTAGTGATCAATTATGTTAATTGTGACGGCATTTCATGGTGTCTCTATTAATTGTGCTTTATAACTATACTTATCTAATTGCTTTGTGAAATCCTTCGACATTAATTCGTTTGTTAACTTTGTAGGATCTGGATTTGCCTACATATATTATGAGTAATTACTTTTTATTAATTTAATTTTTTGTGGTTAATTTGTTGCCATTTTAATTCTTATTTCTTAACTAAAATAATGGGAGCATTTTTTGTCACCACCATTTAGTGTGGTATATGTTCACCACCCTATTTATCACTGTTATATGAGTTTGAATTTCAAGATTCATGTAATGGATAAGCACAAATCTCAAAATTCAAACTCATCTAAAAATTATAAATAGAGTGGTGGTGAACATACACCGCACTAAATGATGATGAGCAAAAATGAACTCCTAAAATAATATACCCTTTTCATTGTTTTACCAATTTAATTTCTCCAATTAACTCGTTATCATTTTCATTCTTATTCCTTAACTAAAATAAAAAAAAAGAAAGGGAAAGGACTGAGCAAATGAGTCAACGAGCAGGCGTTATAGTCTCCCGCGGGACCTTTGGTTCCTTTTCCGGAGAGAGGATCGGAGGCGATAAGCTTTACATGAGCTCGAGACTGTTGAGAACTGAGGTCTTGATAAAGACAAACGAGTCAATGTATTTCCTATTTAGCATTGACTTCTTTCCCACTTTGGACCAATAGGGTTGCTGCGTTTGGGGTGTTTACGCTGTGAGGGAGGTAGGTGAAAAATGCTGGAATACTTGCTTGACAAGTCCGTTGAGGAGTATGGGTCCCGGTATTGCGTTTGCGGAATCTGTAATGCACTCGTCATACTATTAGGAGAGATTTTTCAGTACGTGGAAACTGCTCATTTAACTTGGTATAATATATTGAATGATGACATTCGGTAGACCGAGTCGTTTTTTTTGACATGGTAAAATATTTCTTATATTATTACATGATTTTACAGCGTTTTAAGTCAAGTATTTTTGGCTCAGTTAGGGATGTCTCTTAACACGAGAAGACTTTGTTTCGAGAAAAATCTAAATTTTCTCTTAAATGTTATTTTTTAGGATTGTAACCCTCTATTAAGGATGAATTCGATATTTTATTATTGTTGACTCATTTTGTAAATTGTGTGAACTTCACTTTCACTAATATCGTTAAATTTAACAAAAAATCTTCGATGCCATTTTTTTTCCTATCTTCTCGAGTTAATGTTGATGTTATACCTAACATGATAAATTATGTTAATCGTGATTGTATTTCATGTTGTCTCGATTAATTGTGCTTTATAACTTATACTTATCTTATTGCTTTATCAAATAATTCGACATTAATGTGTTTGTTAACTTTGTAGGATTCGGACTTGCCCACATATATTATGAGTAATTACATATAAAAGTTAAATAATTTCTCCTGTTAATTTGTTACCATTTTCATTCTTATTCCTTAACTAAAATAATAATACCATTTTCATTCTTTTACCAATTTAATTTCTCCAATTAACTTGTTACCATTTTCATTCTTATTCCTTAACTAAAATAAAAGATACCATTTTCATTCTTATTTCTTTGCTAATAAATTTTTTACCCCCATTGACTTAGTCAGGGATGTCTCTTAACACAAAGACACATTGATTCGATGAACCTCTAAACTTTCTATTACATGCTCTATTTGAGTATTGTAATCATATTAATCAAGAGTCACTTAGTAAAACGGTCTAATGGTATTTCTCTTCACTTGTAAGTGAGAGATTTTAGGTTTGATTCTCGCCAAACGCAAATTTAAACCACATTATTACTAGCCCATTGTGAGACTTAGTATATCCCCTCTCTCTTTAATGTATATAATATCTTTTGTTAAAAAAAATAATATTAATCATGAGCTTGCTAACTCATTTGGTAATAGAATGAGATTTGACGAGATCTAAAATACAAAGAGGAAGACACATTGATTTCGTAATGAAATGAGACCAAATCATAAGTAAATGTCGAGATAATTGTCATAAATCATAAATAAATAAAAAGCTGCACAAAAATTTATATAAATTTCACATTGCTAAGTTTGACATTTTATTTCATGTTTAAATATGCTTCATTACGCATAAACTAAAATAGTTTAAGTAGATATGGATATATCAGATGATTATGTAAGATCCCACATCGTCTAGGAGAGTGATTCTTATATGTATATTTTCATTCCTACCTAGCACGAGGTATTTTGGGAGCTCACTGGCTTCGGGTTCCATGGGAACTACGAAGTTAAGCGAATAGTGCGCGAGAGCATTCCCCTAAGGGGGGTGGATTGTAAGATCCCACATCGCCCAGGGGAGTGATCCTTATATGTATATTCTCATCCCTACCTAGCAAGAGGCTTTTTGGAACTCCGAAGTTAAGCGAGTAGCGCGCGAGAGCATTCCCATGATAGGTGACCCATCATGGAATTTATCGTGTGAGTTCCAAGAAACAAAAGCATGAGGGTGTGGTCGGAGCCCAAAGCAGACAATATTATGCTACGGTAGTGGAGCGGGCCCGGAATATGGTGGACCTCGGACCGGAATACGACAATTATATGCTAATTGATTAAGATAGTGCATTCGCCCCCTGTCACGAGTTCTAAGCTATTATCATATTGTAAAACAAACTAATCAAATTACTAAAAAAATTACAAAACAATTCAATTTCAGAGGCAAAAAAATAAAAAAAGATTCATTTTCGACCGCCCATTTACACAAGCAATACGAGATCGACGGACGTGATCAACTGAGTAACTAATTTTTTTCTTTATTTTTGAAGGACTATTTTTTACAGGCGAAAAGCGAACCAACCTCCACAACCGCTGATCACTCTTGACCTCCATCAACCGTCGATACAACCGATTTTCGATTTTCGATTTTCTATCCGCCGCCGCGCGAGAGAAGAAATGGCATCGGGGTGGGGAATCACCGGCAACAAAGGGCGGTGCTACGATTTCTGGGTCGACTTCAGCGAGTGCATGTCTCGCTGCCGTGAGCCCAAGGACTGCGTCCTCCTCCGCGAAGACTACCTCGAGTGCCTCCACCACTCCAAAGAGGTCGGTCAATTTCTCTTCCTATTAATTAACTTTTGTTAATCTCATTTCTAATATCACTCAGATCGTTTGTATTATTGTTGATTAATTATATGTTAATTTAGCTCACGTGTGTTCAATTTGAGCTCTGGTTTTCCTCAATTGATTTACTGTTCCTCCGATGCGTGTTTCGAGCTTGCTGTAGATAATGTGGTGTTTAAACCCTAGGAATCAATTGCCAGCTGAATTCCAAGTCTTCATTGGACGAGCTAATTTAGGGTTTTCTGAAGATTGATTTTATGATTAGGGTTTCGCTTATTACATCTCGTTCATTTTCCAAGTTGCATTTGGGGATTTAAGTGTTAGTGTCCTGAATGGGTTGGCTGTTATGAAGATTAAGGAGAACTATACCTTTTTTCTGGTTCGAAGGGGAGGGAGACAAGTAGAATTGTTCCTGGAAAACGAGAAGTATGCAGAAGAACGGCGTTGCATATGCATTGTGCATAATAGCTTTTGAAAACATTTCATACGACATTGTTTTCGTTAGGTATTTAACTTTAAGGAGTTAATTGCAAAGGTTAAATGAGTTTTTCTTTTATTTAGGAGGTTGATTAGTTATTTTCATGGGTTTTTTATTTAATAGAATGAATGGTTCATCTTCATTTGGATCCTTTTGTATTGACTAGAGAAACAACTTACGGCCTGTTTGATAACCATTTTTATTTTTAGTTTTTTAGTTTTCATTTTTTGTGGTATAGATAGAGGCAAAGTATGTGGGAGAGAGGAGAAACGAAGAAAGGCAGATGGAATGTAAAACTTAGAACTAAAAACAAAAAACAAAATGGTTATCAAACCTTATATCAGTAAGGGTTTTCAAGGAAATATGAGCCTCACAACATTGAAATCAGCTTTGAGGAGTGTCGTAAGCCATGAATTAACTTGAGGATGAATCAAGTAGCAGTGGTCTTACATTGCAATAGTCACTAGTCAGTCCTCTTTTCTTGTCTATTTTTCCAATTATTTGGATGGGGACTTACATATGTGTTTTCAGCTTCTTTTCCGTTTTTATATTCTTCACCTTTTAGTAAGCATTTAAACTGTAGAATCGGTTGGGGATAGTATTGAGTCTAAGTGCACGAAAAAATGCTATGTCTCTCCTATCAAAGTTAGAGCAAAAGTACGAAGATAAAGGTCCACGTATCAACTCTTTGGGTGATAGAAACCTAGGAGTTGCTTGTGTTTACTTTTTATGTTGTGTATGGCAAGTCTGCTGTGCTTTTTTTTGTTATTGTAAATCACATTATATTTTAGATTTCCGCCTCTACAATAATTCAATTTTATGTCATATGTTGAGTTCAATGACTCTCTACACCTTTCAGTTGCATCCTAAGAATAGGAGGTTAAACGTAATAGCAAAACGACAACACAGTAAGCATAAAGAGTATAATTCGAACAAAAGTATCTTCTACAGAGTTATGCTCTATCACCAGAGGTTCATCGGAGAAGGGAAAATGTCAAAAAAATAACTGAGTGAATTCATATTATCATCTTAGCTTCTTTTTTTCTTTCAATATGTGGTAATTAATGAGTAGGGTGAGGAGAACATCATACCTAGGTCTGTTGCATAGCGAGACGAGAAGCTACATAGTGTATTCCCTGATTTCAGTGACATTTGTAACTTTTTATTCAAGTTTGCATTATCATCTCTCACACTATTAGCTCCCCCAGTCAAGGTAACAGTCTTATTCAATGGTTTTGTTTTATTGCATCCATGTGTCATTCGTCGATGGCGCTGAACAAGTATGCGAGTTTGCAATTTAGGAATGTAGTTCAGCTTAGAAAGACATAACACGATATCACACATGGTCTTTACAGAGGGGAGGTTTTGGTCAAATTCCCCTGATGTTTTATGTAATCAAATAATATAACTTGATGCGTATCTACATGAATACAGATTATTTTTGTCTTGGTTTCAATTGTTAATACTGATTCATGCCATGGTTTCTCTGCATGTCTATTACTGCAGTTTCAACGAAGGAATCGTATTTACAAGGAGGAGCAACGTAAAATCAGGGCAGCTGCACGGGCCAAGGAGGGTGGGGAGGTTGATAAGCATCACCATCCGTAGCAGAAATCGATCTTATCCTTCAAACTGAAGAAGTAATAAGTACGTGGAGAACGGATGTCGTAATTTTGTCCAAACTTGTCCTTTTACTTGTTTATGAATGTGTGCCTCATTGGTTTATGCAAATAAGGTTTCGCTTGCAGTTTGTGGAATATAAACCCGATTCCTTTTTAAACTCTTCATTTTTTTCTTCTATATTCCGGGAAATTGTTGTTACGGGCTGAAATGGATTTGTTCGTTTGAATTCTCTGGTGCTTTGTTAGCTACACTTAAATTCTTTAGATTCTGAAAAAGTTTAGGTAAATTTAGAATATTTTGCGGATTTTAAAATCAATGGAAGCCCGATAGCAATTTTTAAATACAGCCTGCATGTTGTTTTTAAAAGTTGCTTTAATAAAAAAACGGATTTGAGTCTTTAATAAATATTTTCAATTCTTGTAATACTCTCTTTAGTTATCAAAATTGACATTGTTTAACCTTTTACTTCTATTGATTACCTCATTTACCCCTACAAACACTAACCTTACACAACCACTGTCATTATTACCACCATTGTTGCCGCCACAACTGCTGCCATTGTTGCTGCCACCGCTCCTACCACCATTATTACCTCTACGCCCCAACCACCACACCCCACATTTGCCACTGCTGCCACCATCACCACACTTGTAACCGCTGCCATCGCCACCACCTTTACTGCCATGTCCAATTTTGTAGCAAACTCTCATAGTTCGAAGCGCAGGTCCTAAGTAATTTACTCAATTATATCACTTTTATATTAAAGTTACAAAATATTTTTACATTTCTTTTCATACTCACAAACTTTTTAATATACAATTTATCAAATACTTAATTGTTTTATTTCACAATTGATTATCGTTAAATCACAACAAAAGAATTTTTTTCTTAAACTACAACAATCCCACACTTGTCCTAACCACAAACCTGCAACGTCATGGTTCGTTTTGAAGAATTTTTAACCAAATAAACTAGAGATTTTTTATAATGCTTTAGTGTATGGTGCTTTGAGATTTTTTTGGTTAAAATTTAAAAAATTAAAATCTAAGTGGTATATTCACCGGAATATATATATATTTTTTTAAGAACTATTCACCGGAATATAGGACCATAAAACTTTTGAAGTACATACTACAAAGTACAAAGACAAGTTCTTGTTGGTATTGAGATTGCTAAAACTACATCCGCACGAGAAATTTTTAGTTGCAGTGAGAATATAAGTGGTACACCACGTGTTTTAATAGGAATGGTGGGAAATTTTATTTTTTAAGTTATTAATTTTTTAGCAAACATATCCCACTATTTGTATAGTGGCACGTGATATACCACCCTGTATACCAGTTATACTGAAAAATATCTTCATCCGCACGTTTGGTGCACACTATTTGGTCCCACGTGAGTTTCAACGGTCCAGATACAAAAAGGAGCAACCCGATAACGATCAGGCGGTTTAAATTAATAATTAAAACAGAGTCGTATATATTTGCCGTACTCAGCGCAACAGGTTATCCGAACCATAATTTTATTTGGTAGCTCCCCAAACGTTCTCTCCAATTTCAAAACCCTAATCCTCCAGCTCCAGCCCTTTCTGCTTCGCTGCGATCCCCAATTTTCATCGGAGGTAATATAAATTAAAACCCTACCCTAATCCTTTTCGTTTTTGATTTCGCTTCACAAGGATCGAAGTACAATAGAAATCGAAATCGATATTTTGTTTTAATTATATTTTCCATGATTCTCGTTGACTGATGTCAAATTTTTTTAAGAACGCTGTGATTTGAAATTTTTTTTTTTTTTTCTCGATTGAATGGCTTTTATCTAAGCAAATAGGATCCTTGAAGATTTCGATTTGCTCACAGTGGATGAAATTTTATAATTTTATATATCCGAATTTCCAATGGGTTTGTTTGTTTCTTTATCAGGACAATGAGCAGTCGGAGTATGAGCAGAACTCTTTATGTTGGGAATCTGCCCGGCGATATACGCGAGAGAGAGGTGGAAGATTTGTTTTTCAAGGTAATTCGATCTGTTGCAGCTTGAATTGATATGCCGATGCGTAATATTTATGCGGTTTTTGGATGAAATTATTATTTGGAATGCTTGACTGTACTTGTTCGTGTAGGAGTAGAACTATGCATTGATCGATTTAGTTAAGTTGTTTAAAACAAACAGAATTTTGAAATTATGAATCGAGTTTTTTTTTTTACTTTTTGCTAAACCTGTTTAACATTCGTCTTATATTTTTCGGGTGTGAACGATGGTATTGTAGGGCTGGTGTTACTGATGGTTATAACGTCTTCTAAAGATTCTAAACAATAAGATATACAATAATAGTCATCAGTTGACTGACTGAAGTTCTAATCTTTTCCGCAGTACGGACGCATAGCTCATATTGACCTGAAGGTCCCCCCAAGGCCTCCTGGTTATGCATTTGTTGAGGTGAGAGTCCTTAACTACTTTCTTTAATTTGTTTACTTATGTTTTATTTATTCTGTGTTTAAATAAGTTATTCGGTACAGTTTGAAGACTCTCGTGATGCTGAAGATGCACTCCGTGGTCGTGATGGCTATGATTTTGATGGGCATCGTTTAAGAGTAGGTTATTATTTTTACATTCCACGGTACCTGTTGTACTTTGGCTAAACATTGTATTCTGATGTATAACTCTGTAGGTTGAACTTGCACATGGAGGGCGTGGGCATTCATCTTCTTCAGATCGTCATAGTAATTATAGTGGTGGGCGAGGTGGACGTGGGATGTCCAGGCGCTCAGATTATCGTGGTGTGTATTTCATTTGATATATTTTGTGCTGTTTTATATATGGTAGGATGCACCTGATATATTTGTAAACCTGCTCTGCCCACAGTGTTAGTCAGTGAACTTCCCCCTTCCGCTTCATGGCAAGATCTTAAGGTGTGCTATTGTATTAAGGTTTTTTCATTATTTATTGTTCCTTGGTGTGTCAACTGTCACTGCATATCTGACACATGCGATGCATTTATTCAGGATCATATGCGACGGGCGGGAGATGTCTGTTTCTCCCAAGTTTTTCGTGATGGTAGTGGTAAGTTGCTTTTCATATTCAAGGGTATTCCTTCGCTGTCATGTACGTAATATTGTGGCAAAGTTTGTATCAGAAACAATTGCGTGGATATTTTTTTTGCCACTGTCAAAAGGTGGATGCTCTTGCAAGAAATAATATGTTAGAAACTTAGAATGAGCATATTCAAGTTCCTACACAGCTTTATAGAATTTCCAGTTTTTCTCATACTGTCTCCTGCTAAATTTTGGTGATCTGGCTGGTTTTGTCTTGTTGGTGACTTAAAAGAATTCATAATACATGGTATGAATAAAAGTTGTTCAGTGGTTCATAGTGCTTCTCAACCAGATTTCAGACTGTTTGGGATATACGCTACTATTTCATATAGTGTTATTTCAAAAGTGTAATCCTAAGACCTAGCTCATGAGACATCAGAATTTGATTTAGCATTTGTCCTATGCCTTTTTATTAGGCACAACAGGGATTGTAGACTACACAAACTTAGAAGATATGAAGTATGCGGTAAGTCCTTTTACTTTCTCTCTCCAGAGTCCAGACATTCATATTTTCTGTGACCTTCTATGGAGCATGGGTACTAGGTTATTGAATATTGCTTTTTCAATATGTCGATGTGTCTGAAGCGTCTATAGAATCTCAAACTTCATAAATAATTTCCTGCAGATCAAAAAGCTTGATGGCTCGGAGTTCCGAAATGCTTTTGACCGCCAATCTGTTCGCGTATGAATCTTACAAGTTGAAAATTTATTTTCTTTCCTCCTTTATCTTTGTTTATTTTTTGTTAACTTTATTTATTGTCTCATTTTGTTACACAGGTGAGGGAATATGATGCGAAGAGGGACTCGTCTAGGAGCCCTAGTCGCGGTCGATCTCATTCAAGAGGCAGGAGCTATAGTCGCAGTCGTAGTCCAAGTTATGGCCGGGGCAGAAGCAGGAGGTTTGACCATTGTTAATTACACGATTCTGTATATGTGGGGACTAACATTTCTATTTTATGTTCTTACTTTTACATCTGATTACAGCAAGTCTCCAAAAACCAAATCTTCACGCCTCTCACCCGCTAGATCTCGATCAAGATCTGCTTCTCTCCCCCGTTCGCGATCAAGGTCTCGCTCTCCATCAGGGTATGTGTTATTTTTTTTCAATTAGTCATCTACCTATGGTTTGTTGATGTTCATTTCATCTGGGTTTTCATGGGTTTGCGAGGTGAACAATGATGGAGATTATTATTACAATAATATATCTTTCCAGTCTATTTGATACTTCTGCATACTAACATTTTGTAGTTGTGCTATCAAATTGGTGACTCTACGTTATTGAAATTTAACCAATCACACTGTGTCAACAGTCGTAACTACTGACTCAGATCAACTGGGTCATTTAATGTGGAGTAATTCTAAAGATTAGGCGTGCTCCATTTTGCGTAGAATCGAATGTCGTCTTGCAGTTGTAAAGTATGAATTATGTTCTTTGGGCTGCAATATTTTCCTGTTGCTGCATTCCATTATTTCTTGCTCAGCAGTTGGGGTTGCCAAGAAAGAGTCAGATATCCACCTAGTTTTTATTTTCTTTCCCTTTTTGCTCGCATGAAAATTACCTTTGTTTTTCTTTTAGATATGGATATATGCGGCGAACTGGGGATTGGATATTAGGATCTTGATTGGATAAGGTCAATTGCTTACAACTCTTTTATATGGAGGTATGCTGTTATTTAGATAGGCAGCTTTGCAAAACCTTCACGGTGCCTCTGTTCTAATGCTTTTGGCATTTAAATGTCCATGGGTGCTAGATTGGGAACAATGGAGGTCTTGGATTGCACTAGTAAAGCTGGATATCTGTGAACTAAGTGCCATTGGGATTTGGAAGTCATCGTCAATGAGCAGTAGAGACAATTTGATTTTCATTTCCTGCTCCAACATTTTGCCAAGCTAATAGGTCGCACAATCTGGATATCCTGGATTCTTGTGTTACAGTAGGGAAGAATGCTCCTCTTGTTTCCACTGGTGTCTTAAAAATAACTATATCCCTATTTTTTTTCACATATTTTTTCTGATTTTCTGATCTGTTTTGGCGGGGATATAATCAATTGTTTCGTCCATTTTTTCCCTATTGGTGCGCTAAATGTTTAAATCTTTTTCTTCTATCCTTATCGTATATGGTAACTTCACACGGAAGAGGCATCAAAGACCTTGGATCAAATTGGTAAAAGGAACATGGTTATTAAATTCGGTTGTTTCTGGAACTTTTGCAGATCACGATCAAGAAGCAGATCTCCAGTGCCTTCGGTAAGTGTTATTTTTGTAATATTGTTTCATTCAAAAAAAAAAAAATCAATATTTTGTTAGTTGCCCCATTTTCAATAGGTTTTTGTATTCTGGCGTTAAACTAGGATATTATCAAGGCTTGTTTGACATTTTTGTACTATGATAGTGATGAAGCCTAATGTTTATAAAGTTTGGCTGGCAGTTGATTTGATTTCTCCTTTACTAATAATGGCCTCTCTGGATTTCGTATCATAACTGCAATTGGATTATGGCTCTTTGGCCCTTTATAATTTTGTTTCTTTGTCATAATCAGAAACGCATAAGTAAAAGCCCTAAGAAGCACATTAGTAAAAGTCCAAAGAAGCGTAGTGCCAGCAGGAGTCCAATCCGGAGCAGGAGCAGGAGCAAGAGTTTGTCACGGTATCATTCTCGAGCATTATATTTTCTGTTGTTAGTGTCATCATTGTCGCACCATCTTTTTCTCCTCGCAACACATTGTCCACGAATTGCTCTTGCATTGTGATCATTGAAGTTACATTCAACGATTCATTCTAGATTGTGATTGCAATTGTTTTTGACAGGTGATGTGATGCTATCCCTGACCTGAATTTATCGCTTGGGGGAAGTTTACAATCTTTGTTAAAGGACTGGAATTCGGGCGACTTTTATTTAGCGGACTTTTAAGTTTATGGATGGATTCGTTTTTAAAATCGTTGTGTCTGTTACATTGTTTATTGTGGCGAACTGTTGTTTAACTGAAACTGGTGTTTTACCATCTTTGCACTTTGTAATGCATTTGAGATTTTTAGCTACATTTTTGCTTGAAGTTTCATCATCTCCCTTCTGCTTCGTTCATCTTTCCGCGTAGTAATGCAGTCTAGCGGATGCGTGCTAAATTTAGGTGCAATGTGGATGACAAAATGCCTTGTTCAGCTGGTCTGGCTCACGTCTGCCTGATTTTTATCAATTTTAAGATGCATTATGGTGCGTCAAGTGATTAAGAAAGTGTCTGCGGAGAGAGACTCTTGTGATATTCACACGAGGTGTATCGGACGAGTAATTCTTTTTTCGAATGCGTAGCAAGCGTCATTCGGCGAGTGATGTCGCATTGTGTTTTGGTTGCAAGGGAGAATCTCTCGCATTGTAGTGACGGTGATATGAAATGACATGAAGAGATGCAAACTGGCGGTGCAATCTGCGGAAAATAGTAATCTTCGGAGTGGCCTTTTTCGTTTGGTGTTATGCCATTCAAAACTTTTGCCCCATTGTGAGAAAACGACAGCGTTCTGATTTGTGGACTCAAATTTCCTACATCTAACAACCACATTCCACCATAGGGGAGATGGATCGTAGCCACAGGTGGGTGGGTCTATGAAATACAGAATCCAATGAAATAATATTATTATTTATAGAGGTTCAATATAATTTTTCGAGAAAACACAATACTATATTCTTATTTTCGTCTACATCTTTATGCCAAAATATACACACTCAGACCCAACTTCAACCGTTCGAGTAAGTTACAAAATTTGACTACTATTCCCCCCAAAAAAACACTCCAACCTTTGACCTAAAATTGAGTTATGGGCTAAAACTTAAAAATTGGCCAAATTCCGACCCCTTCCCCTCCCTTCCCCCAACACCGCATTTTGGGAGCTCATTGGTTTTGGGTTCCATGGGAACTCCGAAGTTAAGCGAGAAGGGGGCTAGAGCAATCCCATGATGGGTGACCCACTGGGAAGTTGCTCATGAGTTCTCAAAAACAAAACTGTGAGGGAATGGTAAGCCCAAAGCGGACAATATCGTGCTACAGTGGTGGAGCGGGCTCGGGAAGTGATCTGCCCCGGGCGGGGATGTGACATAAATATTTTTAGGTTAAAATCTTCATAAAATTAAATTAGGATAGTGTACATAATTTTTTTTTTTTAAATTTACTTGAAAAAAATTAGCCTAAATTTATTCTTTAGTAACCTCGGGCTAAAAAATTTAGGTTAGAAGGGTTGGAACAGAAAAGTTGTTTCTGGGTTAAAACTTAAACTTTATGGGCTAAAATTTTTAGGTTTTACTCTAAGGGCTAGAGATGGTCTTAAGGAACTTGTTTTGTGATTAGATATGAGAGTTTCGTTTTAGATAAACTTATTACATTGTAATAAAGACACGAAAGTTTCATTACTTTTTTTTTTTAAATAGAAATGAGATGAGACTCATTTTCAGTGTGCCTATATGTCGTGATTGGGAACCAGAGTTTTGTTTCAATTAACTTATTCCATAATTACTCATGAGACCTTTTCAATGAACCTATTTTGTGATTAGGCACTAGAGTTTCATTTTTAATGTACCTATTAATGTCGTGCTTAGGTATGATAATCTCTACTAATTAATAAAACACTCATTGTCAATCAAAATCCTATGAAATTACCAGTTTAACCCTTTAATTAAAACATAACATGAATAAGAAATATGAAGCAGAAATATAATTTTACACAACCAATTTTACTGTTTTTTTTTCAAATCCTCACCTAAATGTAATCCTAACATATCTCTAATTAAAAATTAAAAATAAAATCACTATCTTCCTCTCACATTCTATTTAAAAAACAAAAATAAAAATTTTTCTCTCACACACTTTGTGTGTGCCTATATGCTAGTTACAATTAAACGAACCTATTATGTCGCGATTCACTACGAGAATTTCATTTCAAAAGTACAAGTGAGTTTTATTACGTATGAACTTATTTTTATTAAGATCAAAAACTTTATTTTCAATGGACTTATAATAGAACTTTTACGGGAATTCATTTTTTTTTTTTTTTTAGTAGACAAGGAAATATGTTCTATTACTTGTTTAGAAATATATATACATCAGTACTATTATAGTTTTACAAGGAAAACAAATAACATATACACAAACCTACTTAATAAAGGACTCCTATTATTTACATTCCCTATTTTTCCTAATATTGACTCACGCTAACACTCCCCCTCAAGTTGGTGCATAGATATCACATATGCCCAACTTGACAAGTGAGTCATCAAACCTTCGACTACATACTGCATGAGTTAGAACGTCTGCAAGTTGCTCCTCTGACTTCACAAAAGGTATTGACACAATCTTCCTTTCAAGCTTCTCTTTAATAAAATGTCGATCAACTTCCACATGTTTTGTCCTATCATGCTGTACCGGATTATCAGCTATATCTCTTGCTGACTTATTATCACAGTATAGTCTCATGGTTTCCTTTGGCTTGAACCCAAGCCCCTCAAGAAGTTTTCGAAGCCAGAGAAGCTCACAAATGCCGTGAGCCATCCCTCGAAACTCGGCCTCAGCTGAGGATCTTGACACTACCTTCTGTTTTTCACTTCTCCATGTGACTAAATTGCCTCCTACAAAAGTAAAATATCCCGAAGTCGACCGTCTGTCACCTACACTTCCTGCCCAATCAGCATCCGTGAACCCCTCAATCCTCAAATGTCCATGCTTCCGATAGAGAACTCCTTTTCCAGGTGCAGACTTTAAATAAGCTAAGATACGCATAACAGCAGCCATATGATCTTCACTCGGTGAATGCATAAATTGACTTACTACACTTACTGCATAGGCAATATCTGGTCGTGTATGAGCCAAATAAATTAGTCTCCCTACAAGTCTCTGATATCTCCCCTTATCAACCGATTTCTGATTCGGATCCAAACATAGATGATGTTTTTCAACAATAGGAGTATCAACTGGCTTACATCCCAGCATACCAGTTTCTTTTAACAAATCCAAAACATACTTACGTTGTGACAAGAAAATACCTTTCGAAGATCGAGCAACTTCGACTCCAAGAAAATACTTCAAATCCCCTAGGTTCTTCATTTCAAACTCAGCCGCAAGATTTCTCTGCAGCCTTGAAATCTCATCACAATCATCCCCAGTAATAATCATGTCATCTACATAGATGATTAAGGCTGTCACTTTTTTCTGTCTCCGTTTAACGAACAATGTATGATCAGAATGACTTTGGTAATACCCAATCTTTTTCATAACTTGAGTAAACCTATCAAACCATGCACGAGGCGATTGCTTAAGCCCATAAAGAGACTTATGCAACCGACATACTCCGGTACTTCTACCAGCACTGTACCCAGGAGGAAAATCCATATATACTTCTTCCTCCAAGTTCCCATGAAGAAAGGCATTTTTCACATCAAACTGTTTTAATGGCCAGTCCATATTAGCAGCTAAAGAAATCAGAACACGTACCGTATTCATCTTGGCAACCGGAGAGAACGTCTCTTGATAATCTACACTATATGTTTGGGTGTATCCTTTAGCTACCAACCTTGCTTTGTACCTGTCTATTGATCCATCGGCTTTGTATTTGACGGTAAACACCCACCGGCATCCAACTGTTTTTTTTCCCTCCGGCAAGGACGTCACCTCCCAGGTATTATTCTTCTGTAACGCCAACATTTCTTCATCCATTGCATTTGCCCACTTTGGATCCTTTAGAGCCTCATCCACACGAGTTGGTACTCGAATAGCCTCCATATTGTCTATCAAGGTCTTACGCTCTGGTGCAAGACCATTGCATGAGACATAGTTGGCTATCGGATACTTTACTTTGCCTTCCGGAGAAAACCTGTCAGGTGGCACACCCCGATTTTGTCTCGGTGGCAGCTTATATGTATTTACATCAGTACTTGCATTAGTTACATAATCATCCACAATACTTACCTCAGGTTTATTCAGAGAAGAATCATTGGGCATCACCGTGGAGCTAGAGAGAGAGGGGGTTACACAAGTAGGCTCAGCAATGAACTGTCCTGACTGCGGATCACTCTCGGCATCTTTTGCTTCTGACTGCATGCTGCTCTCGGCAGCAACTTCTGGCACGGCATCAGCATGCACGGCCTCAACATCAACCACAGTATTTTTTCCCAAGTCCAACCATTCCAGATCACCACTAGAGCTCTCCCCCTGGTGATCTGAAGATGAAGATACGGGGGCATAAAAAAACTCCGATTCAGAAAAGGTCACATCCATAGTAACATACATATGCCGAGTCTCAGGGTGATAACATTTATATCCTTTTTGGTGAGATGAGAAACCAACAAACACACATCGAAGGGCACACGGATCCAACTTAGTGCGATGAATTTTTGGAATATGCACATAAGCCACACAACCAAATACCCGGGGCTTGAGAGTATGAGTAGACATCACCTGAACATGTTGAGTGAGAACTTGAAGAGGAGTTCGAAAGTCAATCACCCGAGAGGGCATACGATTAATCACGTAGACCGCATAAGTAACTGCTTCAGGCCAAAAAATCTTAGGAACAGACGCGCCCAGAAGTAGAGCACGTGCCGTTTCTAAGATATGGCGATTTTTCCGTTCAGCCACTCCATTTTGCTGTGGAGTATAGGGACAGGTTGTTTCATGGAGAATGCCTTGATCACAAAGAAACTCCGACAACTCACAATCAAGATACTCACCACCATTATCAGAACGAAGAACTTTAATTACAGATAAGTATTGTGTCCGAATCATTTGAGAAAAGGTTCGGAATACCATACCAACATCACTCTTATTTTTCACCACATATAACCACGTCATACGAGTGCAATCATCAACAAACGTAACAAACCACTTAATCCCAGAAGAAGTAACAACAGGAGATGGTCCCCAAACATCAGAGTGCACAAGTTCAAACGGTAAAGCTCTTTTATTCATACTAGGAGGAAACGAAGCCCGATGGCTTTTAGCAAGAATACATACCTCACAATGTAAGTCTGATTCATTTATTCCACTAAATAGACTAGGTAACATACGCCGTAAATACCCAAAAGATGCATGCCCTAACCGACGATGCAACAACCACACTTCTTGTAAATTACTAGACCGGGACGCTCGAACCGCATTAGCTCTGCCAGAAACGACGTCGTCCACATAGTACAACCCCTCTCTCTTAGTGCCACGCCCAATTATCTCCTTGGTCTGAATATCCTGAAGGAGACAAAAAGATGGATACATTAGAACAACACAATCCAATTGTTCAGTAACCTGTGGTATGGATAACAGATGATGGGATAAAGAAGGAACAAGCAAGCAATGATGTAGGGGAAGTGTAGGGGTAAGATGCACAGTGCCGGCACCACACACGGGTGCCAAAGTACCATTGGCAGTTGATATATTTTTCCTGTGAGATGTGGTCATGTATTGAAACATATTTTTATCATATGTCATATGATCCGTTGCACCAGAATCTAAAATCCAACCTGTATTTGCCATTTAATAATACGCAAAAATGACAATCACAAGTACACGGCAATCACAGCACCCTACCAATTACGGAACCACAAGTTGCAAGAACAAACAAGCAGCAGCCACTCACGGCAATTACCCACGGCAAAACAGACACCAAGCAGATTGCAACAGTAGAGCAATATTCCCACGAGGCACAATACGAAATATAATACACTACACACTTGCTGCAATAAGTACAGCAGCAAAGACACAATACGCTGCAACAAAAAACACACAGCACACACGCAGCAGTTGTCTCTTCCTGCAGTCTTTGTTCTCCTTCGTTCCTCACGACACCAGCAACACGTAATACACAGTAGCACGCAGCAAGTAATTGACTTTGCTGCAAGGATGCAGCGGGAAAAATTAGCTGTGTGTTTCCCTTTACGAAAGCAACCGCACGGCAATCCCCAAACAAACAACAACAACTTCCGCCGGAGTCGAACCCGTGACCTATTGGATTCGAAAAAGGCTCAAACCCAACAACGCACAAGGGTACTGGCAGCAGCAATACACACAGCAATACGCACACTGCACTACCAGCAATACTCACAACAATTCCACACGCACACGGCACTGCCTCCTTCTGATGTTATTGTCCCCTGATGATTTACCACACTGCTACACCCACAGCAGTACCACACACACACGGCAGCACTGTGCAGACACAGCACCACCCACACTGCTGCACACGCAGCCAAAAATACACACACACGGCAACACTGTTTTTCTGCAGAAGATTTGCAGAGAAACAGTCAACGCACAGCGGAAAAGAAAACTAGGGTTTTGGCTCTTGATACCAAATAGAACTTTTACGGGAATTCTTTTTTTTTTTTTTTTTTAGTAGACAAGGAAATATGTTCTATTACTTGTTTAGAAATATATATACATCAGTACTACTATAGTTTTACAAGGAAAACAAATAACATATACACAAACCTACTTAATAAAGGACTCCTATTATTTACATTCCCTATTTTTCCTAATATTGACTCACGCTAACACTTATTTCCTAGTTAGACACAAGAATTTTCTTTTCAATAAACTAGCTTTATTGAAAACTAGCTTTGTAATCAGACACGAGAATCTGGTTGCTAACCAACCTTATTCCACAAACCAAACATGCCCACATAGGAAACCAGATGACTGAATTATTATAAGGGAACTTTAACGTCTCTATCTACTATTATTTTACCAAATGGTGGATTTTCTCAACGAGTATGGATAAGAGCATCACAAATACAATCCTCGAATATCATATGATAACGTGCGGAGAAGGAGAGCAACTAGTTTCCTCCAAATCAAGTGTCGTGGAGAGACTCAGTGTACAAGGTCGTATTTCTGGCCCACTTAATTTTTTGTTAAGATAATAACAAAATGTACAATTTTTAAGTCTCACGAGACTCAAGAGGAATTAAAAGGTCACTAAATAAAAATAAACAAAATTTCTACTTAAAAGAAAGCAAACAAATGAAAAGGAATCAAACAAGATTAGTTGGCTAAAACAGGGTATTTAAATTTTCTTTTTGCACATTTGTTAAAAAAAAAAAAAAAATCTTTTGGTACATAAAGGCAATTATAATCCTAGTCAGTTGCAAAGATATGTGTCGTTTTCGTAAATAAATTATGTCTTGTAATTAAGATATAATTCTAATGAGGGCGTCCGACCAATAAATATTTATTATGTGACGTAATGATTCAATAACGTAATATCACATATTGATATAATTTTACATAATATTGTGTTACTAATTTCAATACTAGCGTAACACCATAATGTATCTAATTCATCTAACTTCTTAGTTTAATAAATACTTATCACATGATAAATCAATGAAAAAAAACATCTCTCCCGACTCTCAACCTTCGTGCGGTTGTACTTGAGTTCGAGTTAGTATCTCTAATCTCGTAAATTAGAGTAGTTTAGAGTATCGCCACGTCAAATAGAAATAATCGAATAGCTGTAAAGTCCCCCCAAAAGCCATCTCCCCGCCACCAGATTCCAAGTTTCCAACGGCAAAAGAAGATCACCTCCCCTTCTCTCTAGCCATTCTTTTTAACCAGGCAGTCACACTCTCCCCACATCAGTTCACGAGAAACAAACGGAAAATCAAATCGAACCAAACAAACAGAAATTCCGTTAACCCATCTCTCAAAATCCCCGAAAATACCCAAATCCAACGTCAAGTTCCGACCTTTTTGTCCCCTCATTTCTCAGATAAATTCGAAATCCGATGGCCGGAACCCTGTTCTCGAAGCTCTCCGACGACGTCGTTCTGAACATCCTCTTCAAGCTCGAGGCGGACCCACGGAACTGGGCTCGGCTTGCCTGCTCCTGCACCAAGTTCTCCTCCATGATCCGCAACGTCTGCTGGAAGACCAAGTGCTACAAGGTCATCCCCTCCGTCGTCTCCGATCTCCTTACCGGCTCCACCGAGCCTGCCGGCGGCTGGGCCGCCCTTCACAAGCTCGCTGTCTGCTGCCCTGGCCTCCTCCACTCCGGCGTCCTCTTCGAGAACTCCGACTTTGGGCTCGAGCGCGAGCTCGGTCCCGACGAGAATTACCGGAAGTTGGACTCCAATCCGGTCGGCGCATCTCTGGCGGCGAATCCTCAGACCGAGGCTTCCTCGAGCCAAATTGGCGCGAATCAGGAGGTGGGTTCTTGTGGAAATGATTGTTCTTGGTCTTTGTTCGATGATCTTTATTTCGATACGGTCTATAACGATTCTGAAGCCCATCAAGAGCAAGATAATCTTCAATTAGAATCGGCAGCGGCGGAGGCGGATCAAGTCGCCGTCGAGAATGGCGCCATTCGAGTGGGCGGCGAATTTTCGATATGCAAGAAAAGGAAGGTCTGCAGACCGATGAGGTCGCATTTGGCTTCTGGGGTCTGGAATCTGAGCCGTGAGCAGGGCAACAAGCTTCTCCACAGCCGGTTCCGCGGCGATCGCTTGTACATTTGTGATTGGCCCGGCTGCGTGCACATCGAAGAGAAGCGAAATTACATGCTTTTCAGAGGGCTTTTCAAGGATTTCAAGGGGTCCCAAGTGTGGAGGACGATCAAGGATGGGAACCGCAGCAAGATTGATCTGAACTGCGCGTTTTGCGCCTGCAAAGACACTTGGGATTTGCATTCTGCATTCTGCTTGAGGCGGGTTTTCGGGTACCATGACGATGGCGAGCCGGTTGTTCGAGCTTATGTCTGTGAAAATGGGCATGTCTCTGGGGCTTGGACCGACCTGCCATTGTACTCTTGATATCTAACGGTTAAAAATCTCAGAGTACAGATACTCCGAAGCACCATGGAGTTTTCACTCTCGAGGATCCGAGGAGGAAGGATTGTGTTTTTATTTCAATGTATGTCAGGATTTTCAAGAGTTGCTTCTGTTATTGTTGTGTTTTCAAAACCTTCTTCGTTGTGTTTTCAATAAAGATGTATAATTTCAATGTCATGTTGTAAGAATTGATAAGATTCTAAATTTAAATCGAGATTTCGAATGCGTCGTGTCGAAGTCGTTGGATTATTAGAATGGTCTAGACGTAGCGAAATGCGGTAAATGCACGACTTCTAAATGTAGATGCTCAGGATCCACAGGCCGTAACATTTTACGGGGATAAAAACGGCAACCATGCCTACAACTGTTTGCCGGTGGACTGCTGGACGCAGCAGCTACTGCTCTCTGCTAGAGATGTGTTCACTTGTTTGAAGCAGCTAAGGTATCACCGTAGCCAGCCATGGCTTCCAGAAACCAAGACAGATGCCTTGTGTTTTTCCACAGCCTCACACAGTACGTTTCGAGGATCACCTACAACGTCAAATTAAACAAAAACGTTAGCCTCAGAGTACGTTACGAGCATCCCCTGCAAAATTCGACTTTTCTACATGTACGTACGAGTGCGTGTGTGCGTGTGTGTACAGATAAAAGCTTATTAGCCTTTGAGTTCTGCGAAGCATTTTGCTTTCTTATTTGAGTCTATCGGGGAGTTAATCCTTTCTTATCGCTTTGAGTAAGAACGAAGTATTTTAGTTCGGTAGTTGATGACTAAATCTCGAAATCTTGATTCCTTCTGTATGTCTTGCACGGATAAAAGAGTATTGCTGCCTTTGTAGTTTGAAGGTCAAATTTTACGTTGTGGTCTATCTCGCCTAATCTTTTAATTTCCGACTGATGGTTAATGGTTATTGGCTCCTTTTTCCTTAATTGTTGAATTGGCATGAGTTCTTCCAATAATATAATATCAAACTTTCTTAAACAAAAAGCGTCGTAGATCAAGGATAGAAATTCAATCACAAGGTACTCGTGGTTCAATTCGTTAAAAGTGTCCAGTTACTTTTGCACCTGAGGTCATTTGCTCGATCTCTCAATATAATTTGTATCAGAATTCTACCAATCAAACTTTCGATACACGGATCAACTTGTCATACAAAAGTTTGAACGATCAAACCATAAGCACAACGTAAATATATATATACACACATACATATAACCTTTCAGGATTCAACTCTCAAAGGGACAAATTTATTATCTATACATCGTAATTTTTCAAACACGAATATGTGTTCGTCGCGCTTAACTGAACCCCAGAGGCCACTCAGTGCTAGGTTTTGGGCTTCTTCACAATCATCACGGAGCAGTGCGCTTGATGAGCGCAGTAGTCGCTTACGCTTCCCAAAAACGCCCTGCACCAGAACCAAACAAAGCATTAAGATTTCCACAGAAAACAAGTAACCTCAAGCTCGGCTCAAACTTAATCGCACAAATTAGCGATGGTTGTTCCCACTCGATCGAAAAGGTTGGAACAAGTTTGAGGGAATACCTTTTGATGGCTCCATAGCCATGGCTTCCCACAACCAAGATGGATGCCTGGTGTCTTTCAGCAGCCTCACACAGAACGTTCCTAGCATCTCCTTCCATAACCTCCACGACCACATCGGTCACCTGCAACCATTAGAACATGTAATGCTCAGAAAGCTGCCAGCGAAGCGCAACTTCTTCGTATCACATCGGTGTGCGATCATTGGGTTCCGTTTTGATCTATGATAGCGTAAGAATTTCAAATCTCTTTTTGAGTATTTGCCGGAAACGCTCATATAGAAAGACGTTATAAATGTGAGTTAGGTTAGTTGTTCATATCATTGCGTTCACCCTGCTCATGCTCAAGTTCGATATCCTTTATAAATTATATAAATTGACATCCGTTTTCAGAGATTATATTGATAAAATTTCAATTTTAGGGACCATCTTGATAGTTTGGGTCAATTTCAAGGACGGCGTGTGATAAAAATCCAAATAAATAAAATTTGACAAATACCGATTTAGAAGCGCAAAATTCCTTGGCCTTCTCAGCTACACGGGCAGCCATCTTCTTCAAATCAGCGTCCACGATCGGCAGAATCCCCGCCCCTGCTGCAATTCGGCACAACACGCAAATTAGCTAATCATAATTAACTAAACAAACAATTAATTAATTAGCAGGTAAGACACAAAGGTTTTCAGAGATCACTTCCCGTTGCAGTTAGGATTCTTACCGGTGCCGACGAAGCCAACCACGGAGGAAACCGATGGCTTGGCGTGGACGATGATGAGCTTGAACGGAGCTGTGTCGCCTCCGAAAGGCTTGAAGAAGTGATCCAAAGTCCATTCCAGAGCGTAGTGGCTCTCCTCGCTGTCGTCCGCCCCGATCACCATCACTTGCTTCCCTGCCGCCATTGATGCTCACCTTTCTTTCTTTCTCTCTCTCTCTCTCTCTCTAGTTCTTCATCTTCTTTCTTGTGTTGTCGTTTCTCTCTCTAGTTCTTCTTTCTGCCGGCTATTATTTAAAAGGAAAGATTTTTTCACATTGATGAGTATATTTTATATTATATATTTAATCATATTCTTATTATATTTTGGTTAATATTTTGGAAGAATTTTGATAATTTGAATTGTATTTTTAATATAGGGCTTTCAACTTCCTTTGCAGCAAAACACAGTCAAATGGACGAATTTTGGAGTAAATCTATTTGGAGGACGTTCGTGAGTCACTTGGCTTGATCGTGTCAAAATTTGAAATTTTTCTACCTAGCGATGATTTTCTGGCAATAAAATAAAGCAGCGATGAGCAGTGCTGGAATAATGACGTTTTTGGTTTGAATTGCGTTTTTGAAGCTCAAGATAACCTCGAATGGGTTCATGGCCTTCTGGAGATTTGTTCATAACGTCCTGATCTTCAAAACAAGCTAATGGGCCAGATTTGGAGGATATTTGAGGCTAAAACGTGGCTGGACAAGTACTTGACAGATTCTCCTAGTTCAATTAGGATTTTGTTTTCTAAGTTATTTTATTAGTATTTAGTTTCCTAGTTGGAGTAAAAGACCTGAGTTTTAGGGATTATGCGATGGCATAGTAGAATATATTGCTTTGCCGTTCTCAATTTTAGGGTACGCTTGCTTTTATGAAACTTTGGAGACAGAGAGAATTGCTAGGGTTCTTGAAGATTTTCTACTTTAAGGTGTTTTCAATCCTTTTCTTTATAATAATATTTTCTATGATTTTAATTATGAATATGCGTAACTAATTCATTTTGCTAGGGCAAAACATTGAGCCTTAGCATGAATATGTAATTTTTATTTAATTGCTTATGATTGATTGCATGCATACTTTGAATTATTAATCACTATGATTAAAACTATCTAATTGTCTTAATGCCTGATCACCATGAGGATCTTTAGAAAAAGTAATTTGATGCAATTTTGGTCAGAATGTTCCTTGAAATTGACGCTGGCTTCTTGTGGTTAATAATTGTAATTTCATTTAAGATAAACACCACGTCTTAAGGGTTGCATGGTTTTTCTAAGGGTTTTCATAAAGCATAATGAGTCTCTCATGTTCATATTTAATTCGAACGTCCAAACAGGTTGCATGTTAGATATACGTTTCATGTTGGAGGTTCCAAGTACAATATAAATTAGGAAAACTTAACTTTCAAAGTGGCATGTGTAGATATACGTTCTATCTTGCAAGAGGCGCTGAGCCCTTTAATGAAACTTTCAAACACCCAAAATGTCCTTAAACAATTAAATAATTACACATAATAACAACTAAAAAACGTCGTCGACTTCAATTGGAAGGTCATCCTCGTCGATCCCGCCACAACACCATTCACTCCCAGCTTCAACAATCATCGTTATTGACCTTGGATTCCATACCCTAGGATGTTGTTTATGCCTCTGTCCTTCCTCCCATCTCTTGTCCGTCCTCTCTCACTCCCATGCCGACAAAATCGCGCCAAGAAATACCACCATTTTTTCGGTGCGGACCAGATTTGGTCTTGGCATCACAGATTTGCCCAGATTTCTCAAATTGCACCGCTTACAGGCGACTGATCTTTGTATTTATGCAAATTAGGAGAGCCCAGACTGCCCAGACGGACACCAAAACTCAATTATTCCAAATACCCAAAATTAAGTAGAGGAAACTACTTCGTATGATCAAATTCACACTATAGTTTCAAAAAGAAAAAATGATTAGTCTCGGAAGAAGAAAAAAACCGGCATCCTGGAGCGTTGGCCCTGCTTGATGTGTATAATGAATTCCTCGAGCAGCTAGACCATGTATATACTGCAAATCAGATGACAGGTCAGAGAGATTCAGGAACGGAGCAGAAAATAAAAAAGTAGAAGATGGAGCTTAAAAAAAAAAAAAGAGAAAATTGGGGTTGTGGGGGAGACTTCTAGAGAGACGTTTTTGGTTTTTGGAAAATCTGTTTCAGTAATAGGGTAGTGGAAGAGACTTCTCGATGCAGATGGAGAAAATAAAGGGGAAAGACTTAAGAAAATTAAATTAATGGCACATCTCGTATTATACATTTTTTGGTTATTTCACATAGTCATATATGTTTTACATAAAAGTTTACCAAACACTATAATACTGTTTTTTTTTTAATTAATTTATTTTTTCCAAAATCACTTTTACAAAAAAGTTTACCAAACACTCTGCTGTTTTATTTCACAGCTGCTTATTCTCACATCATAGCAGAAGCAGTTTTTTTTTAAAACACAGCAATACCAAACCAACCCTTAGTCATTTCTAATTGCTGTGAGCAGGAAAGAAGTATTCTAGTTCGATAGTTGATGACTAAATCTCGGAATCTTGATTCTTTCTATATGTTTTGCACAAATAAGAGAGTTGACTGCTGCGTTTGTAGTTTGAAGACCAAACTTTACGTATAGTTTGACTCGCCTAATCTTTTAATTTCCAACTGATGGCTACTGGCTCCATTTTTCTCAATTGTTGTGTTGCCATGATTTCTTCCAATAATCATAATTTTGCCAATCAAACTTTTGATACACGGATCAACTTGCCATACAGAAGTTTGAAACCTTCATCTTTCAACCTATAAAATACATGCCATACTCTGAATTTTGAACGATCAAACCATAAGTACAAAGTATATATACATATAACCTTTCAAGATTCAACCTCAAGGGGACAAATTGATTATCTAAATATCGTAATTTTTCAACACATATGTGTTCGTTGTGCTTAACTGAACCCAGAGGCCACTCACTGCTTGGTTTTTGGCTTCTTCACAATCATCACGGTGCAGTGAGCGTGATGAGCGCAGTAGTCGCTTACGCTTCCTAGAACCGCCCTACACCAGAACCAAACAAAGCATTACGATTTCCACAGAAAACAAGTAACCTCAAGCTCGTCTCAAACTTAATCGCGCAAATTAGCGATGGTTGTTCCACTCAGATCGAAAAGGTTGGAACAAGTTTGGGGGAATACCTTTTGATGGCTCCATAGCCATGACTTCCCACAACCAAGATGGATGCGTGGTGTCTTTCAACAGCCTCACACAGAACGTTCCTAGCATCTCCTTCCATAACCTCCACGACCACATCGGTCACCTGCAACCATTAGAACATGTAATGCTCAGAAAAGCTGCCAGCGAAGCGCAACTCCTTCGTATCACATCGGTGTGCGATCATTAGGTTCCGTTTTGATCTATGATAGCCTAGGAATTTCGAAACTCCTTTCGAGTATTTGCCGGAAACGCTCATATAGAAAGACGTTACAAATGTGAGTAGGTTAGTTGTTCATATCATTGCGTTCGCGCTGCTCATGCTCAAGTTCGATATCCTTTATAAATTATATAAATTAACATCCGTTTTCAGAGATTATATTGATCGAATTTCAATTTTAAGGACCATCTTGATAGTTTGGATCAATTTCAAGGGGTGTGTGCTAAAAATCCAAATAAATAAAATTTGACAAATACCGATTTAGAAGCGCAAAATTCCTTGGCCTTCTCAGTTACACGGGCAGCCATCTTCTTCAAATCAGCGTCCACGATCGGCAGAACCTCCGCCGCTGCTGCAATTCGGCACAACACGCAAATTAGCTAATCATAATTAACTAAACAAACAATTGATTAATTAGCAGGTAAGACACAAAGGTTTTCAGAGATCACTTCCCGTTGCAGTTGGGATTCTTACCGGGGCCGACGAAGCCAACCACGGAGGAAACCGATGGCTTGGCGTGGACGATGATGAGCTTGAACGGAGCTGTGTCGCCGCCGAAAGGCTTGAAGAAGTGATCCAAAGTCCATTCCAGAGCGTAATGGCTCTCCTCGCTGTCGTCTGCCCCGATCACCATCACTTGCTTCCCTGACGCCATTAATGCTCACCTTTCTCTTTCTCTCTCTCTCTCTCTCTCTCTAGTTCTTCACCTTCTTTCTTGTGTTCTCGTTTCTCTCTCTAGTTCTTCTTCTTTCTGGCCGGCTATTATTTAAAAGGAAACTAATGATAAAAGCTTAAAAATTTTGAATGTTAATAAAAATTTATATATTAACTTTATTTAACAGTTAGGATAAAAGTTAATATTAAACTAGTCCAATTAAAATGATCCAAACTATAAATTTCCGATTTTGCCCAAACGGCAAGTCTTTGTTCGTTTATCCCCTCTTCCTTTCTTCTCTCTTACTATTCCTTGCCTCTATAACCTTAAATTCCCCTTCTTCTTTCATCACTAACCGGAGCTGCAAAGCAAGAGAGAGAGAGAGAGAAACAACCAGAGTAGCGAATATGATGATCATCCTCGTCTCTGAGACCATGGACATCCCCGACGGTGTCAAGATCAAGGTCCACGCCAAGATCATCAAGGTCCTCACAAGAATACGACCAGAAAGCGGAAGCTGAAGGTCAAGGCCTGGTTCGGCTCCCTCAAAATCATCCCCACCATCCGCACCGCTCTCTCCCACATAGGAAATCTCATCACCGACATCACCAAGGGGTATCGCTACAAGATGCGTTTGTGTATGCTAATTTTTCCATGAATGCCTCCATCACTAATGAGGCCAAGTTGATCGACACACGTAACTTTTTGAAAGAAGGTGAGTAAGGTGGATATGATGATGTTTCTATCACCCAATGTGAAAAGGTCAAGGATAACCCCATCTTGGATGAAAATGAATTTTTCTCGATCTTGTGCCCTGATCAACCAGAAATGCCATCTTGTCTATCAGGAAGTTTCTTGATGGTATCTATGTGAGCGAGAGGGGAACCATTGTTGCAGAGGAATGAAGGGTGTTTGTTTTTGTGTTCTTTTTGAATGTAGTTTAATTTCTTCATGGGATTGGCTAGTTATTCCTTTTGTTGGAGAGTTCTTGTGGAAGAAAATATATCAAAGGGCAGATGCGGGCTGCGGGTTCTGTTGAATGTTTGATTGTGTTGCTGTTTTTGGTAAGAAATTAGAGAGAAAAATATTAAATATCTGTCATGGTTGATATATTTGATTCATTTCATAGAGGAATAATGGAGAAATTGATGGATTTAAGAACTTGAGGGAAAGCTGCCCTTTTGTAATCACTGAGCTACTGCGTTACGTTGCAAATATGGGTGAGCATTCTTTTGTTACTTCTGAGTACGAGGAAGCATTGATTGGAATGGAAGGTAGATTTAAGGCAAAGTTGTATTGATTTGGAAAAGAAGCCATTAGAATGCTGAAATAAAAATGAGAGTTTGGTTCGTTTAATTTTTTTCTTAGTTTGTAATATCTCATGTTCTCAAGGATTTGTTTTGTGATGTAGTTTATAAACCTTTGATGATGGATGGCTATTATATGTGTGCATTTGGGGCGTTGTGTCGTGTGTTTGTGAATGAAAATTTATGTGGTGTATTTGGAGGTGTTTTAAAATTGTGTTTTTGTTTCATGTATAACAAAAAAATCGTTGTTTAGTTTAAGAAATAATGATATTACTCGTATTTAAATCTATAAATAATTAATGTTCAATTTGAGAAATAGTTAGTGTTCAATTTCAGCAATAGTAATCGTGTTCAGTTTCATAAATAGTACTAGTGTTCAGTTTCATAAATAGTTCTCGTGTTCACTTTCATAAATAGTAATTTTGTTCAGTTTCATAAATAATGATAATACCCATCTTCAGTTTAAGAAATAATTAGTGTTAAGTTTAAGAAATAGTGATAATAACAGTGTTCAGTTTAAGAAATAATGACAACACACATGTTCAATTCTAGAAATAGTGTTTAGTTTAAAAATTAGTGATGACATCAGTACTCAGTTTAAGAAATAGCGATAGTATCTTTGTTCAATTCGAAAAATAGTTAGTATTTAGTTTAAGAAATAATGATAGTACAAGTTTTCAATTTAATAAATAGTCAATTTTCAATTAATAAATAGTCAGTTTTCAGTTCTAGAAATAGTCAGTGTTTAGTTTAAGAAATAGTAACAGTACCTATGTTCAATTCTAAAAATAGTCAGCGTTCAACTTAAGAAATAATTAGTATTCAGTTTAAGAAATAGTGATAATATTAGTCTTAAGTTTAATAAATAGTGATAATACCCATGTTTAGTATACAAAATAGTGAGTATTCAATTTAAGAAATAGTAATAATACTCGTGTTCAGTTTACGAAATAATGAATGTTCAGTTTAAGAAATAGTGATAGTACCACTACTCAGTTTAAGAAATAGTGAGTGTTCAGTTTAAGAAATAATGATAGTGCCAATATTCAGTTTAAGAAATAATAATAGTACTAGTGATTTATTTAAGAAATAGTATCGATACCCCTATCCAATTCGAGAAATAGTTAGTGTTATAATTGATAATTTTGTTTACTTGGGGAAATAATGTAGCTATTTGATTTTCCTTTTTTTACTTGAAGACATAAAGTATCAAATTGTTAGTATGATATAAATGCATTTTTTTGTTGATTTGTTTTTCAGGTTGTTGCTAGGACAAAATAAAGTCACGAACAATACTGCTGGTAAACAAATAATAAGAAGAAGGTGGTGATGTTGAAAACAACTGAGCCGGTGAAAATACCAGAGCTTTACAAGCAAATCTACAAGACCATTTTTTTATCCGTCAAGAGTTGAGACCCCACTGGCAAATCTACAAAGACTCACAAACTGAAAATGAAATTGGGATAATTTCCAATGGAGTGGCACTTGCATTCTAGGAGAATGGGTTCTAAGTGGTAAGCAAAATTAAGGGTGGAAATTGATCAACAAAAGAATCTAAACCACCTAATTACAAAAAAGTAATAAACTAATAAAATAATAACAATAAAAATAATATATATATAAAAGAAATTGGGGAAGCAATTGCACCCATTTTCTTTTATTAACGTGCAAAATGGTTTGAGGAGGTGGCCACTCTCCTTCACCTACTTGAGTTTTACCTTCCTTTCAGGAGGAAGGGGGACGACAAGAAGAAAACAAGAAAAAATAAAAAAAGCAAAACCTGAAGAGAGAACGAACGGCCAAAAGAAAAAAGAAAGAGAGAAAGAACCGGCTGGTATAATGTCATACTTGTAAATAAAGGGAAGTTTATTTCTAACTGAATTGGCTGACAGAATAGCATTGCTGTTAGGGGCAAATGTGGAAAAAAATTCATTTCGTTTTGGGCTTTTAGTTCAGCCCATGTGTGTTAAATGCTTATGGGTTTGATATAGATTAGTTTTGTCCTTATGATTAAATATAAAGCCCTTTTGGTTAAATAATAGTATATGGTGGTTTTTTATTAAATTAAACTTAGCTCAAACCCTTTTCATTAAAACTCCCTTATTTAAAAGGATAGACTTTTCAATGCGATCGGGACACTCATGTGTTATTATACAAATCGTGGAATATGTGTGTCAAAAAATTAATAACTTAAGAAATAAAATTTCTTTGAAGTTGACTTCTTGTGTATTAAAGCTTTTTAGCTAAAATGATTCATTAGATTGAAAATCAATAGAAATGGTCCCTGAAATTATCCAACGTCCATTATTTTCGTCCTTTAGTTAAAAACTCCATTAAGTGAACTCTTGGCAGGAAGTTTGGGTAATTTTCAAAGCTTCGTAACTCAATCGTTTCTTAACCAAATTCGACTCATAATATATCAAAATGAAGATAGGAAAGTGTATAACAAAATTATACTTATTTGGAAGACCAATGGTTTCCAGAGTTGGCCGGAAAATAGCGTAAAAAGTTAGTCTGCTAGGAAACTGAAAAACTCGCAGAAAACTAGATAAACATTAAACATTCATAACTCCTTCAATACTCAACGAAATAGAATGATTCAAAAACGAAAATTATAATTCTCAACAAGATGAAGAGAATGGTATATTTCTCGATGACTAATTTGAACTTTTGACACAAGACGATGAGAATGGTACTTTTCTCAATTGGCAAAATCATAATTGCATTCAAAGCATCTCATGCCCTTAACCGAATCTAACAGCAACAAACTACACCATAAGTGAAAACGGGTAAAGAAGTTCACTTGATGTACAATAATTATTGATGAGGTAAGTTCTCCTGCACCAAGTTTTATTTCTTAAGTTCTCCTGCACCGAAAGTGTCTAGTTACTTTTGCACTTAAAGTCATGCGCTCGACTTTCTTTATCTTTCTTTACTCTCAATATTACTTGTATCATAATTTTACCAATCAACTTGTCATACAAAAGTTTGAAAACTTCAACTTTCAACCTATAAAATACATGCCATACTCTGAATTTTGAACTATCAAACCATAAGTACAAAGTATATACATATAACCTTTCAAGATCCAACTCTCAAGGGGACAAATTTATTATCTATATAGCAGTAATTTTTCAAACACGAATCTGCGTTCGTTGCGCTTAACTTAAGGGTTTAGGCTTAACTGAACCCCAGAGGCCACTCAGTGCTTTGTTTTAGGCTTCTTCACAATCATCACGGTGCAGTGAGCGTGATGAGTGCAGTAGTCGCTTACGCTTCCCAGAACCGCCCTGCACCAGAACCAAACAAAGCATTAAAATTTCGACACAAGATAAGTATCCTCAAGCTCGGCTCAAACTTAATCGCGCAAATTAGCGATGGTTGTTCCACTTGATCGAAAAGGTTGGAACAAGTTTGAGGGAATACCTTTTGATGGCTCCATAGCCATGACTTCCCACAACCAAGATGGATGCGTGGTGTCTTTCAACAGCCTCACACAGAACGTTCCTAGCATCTCCTTCCACAACCTCCGCGACCACATCGGTCACCTGCAACCATTAGAACATGTAATGCTCAGAAAAGCTGCCAGCGAAGCACAACTTGTTCGTATCACATCGGTGTGCGATCATTAGGTTCCGTTTTGATCTATGATAGGGTAAGAATTTCAAATCTCTTTTTGAGTATATGCCATAAACGCTCATATAGAAAAAAGTTACAGACGTGAGTTAGGTTAGTTGTCCTGCTTATGCTCAAGTTCGATATCCTTTATAAATTATATAAATTAACATCCATTTAATTTCAATTTTTGCGACCATCTTGATAGTTTGGGTTAATGTAAGGTAGGTTTGTGATAAAAATCCAAAATAAATAAATAAAATTTGACAAATACCGATTTAGAAGCGCAAAATTCCTTGGCCTTCTCAGTTACACGGGCAGCCATCTTCTTCAAATCAGCTTCCACGATCGGCAGAACCTCCGCCGCTCCTGCAATTCAGCACAACACGCAAATTAGCTAATCATAATTAACTAACAAACAATTGATTAATTAGCAGGTAAGACATAAAGGTTTTCAGAGATCACTTCCCGTTTGCAGTTAGGATTCTTACCGGGGCCGGCGAAGCCAACGACGGAGGAAACCGATGGTTTGGCGTGGACGATGATGAGCTTGAACGGAGCTGCGTCGCCGCCCAAGGGCTTGAAGAAGTGATCCAAAGTCCATTCCAGAGCGTAATGGCTCTCCTCGCTGTCGTCCGTGCCGATCACTATCACTTGCTTCTCTGCCGCCATTGATGCTCACCCTTCTCTCTCTCTCTCTCTCTCTCTCTCTCTCTCTAGTTCTTCACTTTCTTTCTGGCCGGCTATTAGTTAAAGGACTCGTGCTTTCAACGGAATCGGTTCGAGCGAGCGAGCTTCCGTGATTCTTCTGTATTCGATACAGACGGCGTCGTTTAATTTGGGGGTCGTGAATATAGCTTGATTCCTAACCATTCGGGATACATCTAGAAAATTAAAGGCTGGTTTGGTATTGCTGTATTTTGAAAAAGACTGTTTTTACTGTGTTGTGAGAATAAGCAGCTGTGAAATAAAGCAGCAGAATGTTTGGTAAACTTTTTTGTAAAAGTGCTTTTGAAAACAAAAAAAAAACAGTATTATAATGTTTGGTAAACTTTTATGTAAAACAGATGTGAAAAGAAGCCGGTTTTTCAAAGTTGGATTTTGTAGCTTTTTGTTTTTGGCTTTTTTTCACCCAAAACTATAAAAAAAAAGCTAAAGCTGAATGTTTACCAAACACAAAAATAGCTCCTAACTTTTTTTTATACCAGCTTTTTTCAGAATCACCTCAGTATCAAACCAGGCCTAAGGCTAAACAATCACTGATTGGCGCGTGGATATAGCTTAATTCCCAAGTTAATTAAGGCAACTTCGAAATTTTATTCCTCAAAATGAGGCTATCCGCCATTTATGTTTTTTTTCACAATTTCCATGCCAACGTGATAAAACATTATACGAAAAATATGAGGTGTCTGAGAGTTTATGTGGAGTCACTTAGTCTAACTGGTGCGCAGGCCGAATAGCTAATAAACTAATTATTTCTTTCGGTTGAATGCAGGGCATGCCAACTCGTTAGCCGAGCTCAGCGGGGGAGCGAATGAGTGTTGATGTGGCGTTGGGCGCGTTGATGACTTCTGAATCTTGCGACTGCGGCCGATGAATGAACACGTCTCAGCATTTAGGTTCTGGAGACTAAAGACAAGACTGCTAGTTCTGCAAAGTTTAATATTAAATTTAATTTTCAGTGTGCCGATGTCGTAACCTGGTAACATCTCACTTTGCCAAGAAGGCAGATGAGATGACCTCTTCCAACAAGAACTTGGAAATCCTTGTTGATCGAGACTTGGATAGATAACTAATCGTTGCGCATGGCAATTCTATATGTTGTAAATAAAAGAATTTATAATAATTCCTGACTACATAATGTATGATAAACGAATATGATTTGAGGATTCGGATCCTTACAAAAAGAATCAGACAAGGATTCTCACTCCATAACTACATGGGAAGTAGCCTCCCAATCCTCCACGTGTATGCAGGTGCTGACTAGAAATTGCAAATCAATTGCAATTCTTCCTCTTATCCCATGCGTACACCACAAATAGAGGACCCATTTCCAAACAAACGGCTAGGATATTGATCATATTAAGTTTGCATAACTTAATATATTATTGCAAGTGACTTTTTATCATAGTGGTAAAAAAAAGTTGGTCCTTATATGACGGTGTAATTCAAACTCCATTAGTATCTAATCTAACATCTAATATAATAAAATATATCGTATGACTGAAAAAGAAAAAAGTTAATATATTATTAAAAGATAATATCATGATTAAAACCACAATATATCCCTGTTTGGGCCCAAAATATTATGATTGGGCCGAGCAGCAAGACGTGCTCGGCCCAAGGTAATGACATGCTATGGGCCAAATAATGAAACCCGGACCAGCTGGCAGGGTCGGCCAGATCCTATCTTAAAAGTAGTCCAGATAAGTGAGGAAAGGTCGAGGAAATCCTGGTGCAACCAGGATTCTCGACCAGCAAGGGATAAAGCTTCAAAAGGAGGAGAATTCAGAATCCCAGTAGGACTAGGGTTGTTCGAGTTAAAGGTGAAATGGGATAAGGACTCCCAATCCAAATCAGAATGGGATTCAAGGAGCGAGGTGCTATAAATACAAGAAATTACGCAATGGTAGACCCTTCAATTCAGCATACAATTGCCCTGCGCAAATTCTCTCAAACACCTTGAGATTTTTCCTTTTCTTTTCCCGCCGACACACCTTCAGTTTGGATAAACAGCACTGTGGAAGCAACCGGTGAGCACCTTCAGTTTGGATAAACAGCACTGCTGCCGCAGAATCAGCCGACCGAGACACACCTTCAGTTTGGATAAACAGCACTGCGTCGAGGTCGATCGATTATCTATCTAAGTCTCGGCCGAGGAAGGTTTTCGAACCTTTGTTGGTAGAGGTCATCTTACTAAGCCGTTTCGGCATAGTTGGGTGTTACGAGTTGCCTTGCTCGGCGCATTGGAGGCCGAGTGAGTTTATGATTGGATACTCACAAGTAAGTTTCAGGGTTCGGCATTCCGACGGCCGAACTACGTTTACCATCAAGACATACATCACATTCGAGTACCTGTGCCCGTATAGTTTGGTCTCAATTCGGCGTGCTTATACTCTTACGAATATAATCACAGTGGCCGAATCAGGCTTCGACGAGTTGTGAACTCCGCAGAATTAGTAGCCTTGTCTTCAGGCTATAGAATCCAGAGACCGAGAGCGTTCCTTCCTCGGTCGCAATCGCAAGATACAGAAGTCAACAGCGCGCTCAACGCGACCGCATCAAATTTTACTCCTCGGCCGAGCTCGGCCGACGAGTTGGCACGCCCTGCATTCAACCGAAGGACAGTAGTTAGCTCATTAGTTATTCGGCCTGCGCGCCACGTAGGTTCTGTAATTTTTAGAGTCAACATTTTGGCACGCCCAGTGGGACAATTGTGCTAAACCTTCGGAGTTCATGACCGTAGAGACACGGTCTACCAAGAAGAAAACAAACATGGGAAAGTCAACAGCTGACTTACCAGTGCAAGGCCTTGGGCAGGATTCGCACCCAGCAAAAAATCCGGTCATTGCTTTGCCACCCGAGGCTACAAGTGTGACCCGCCGGGAGAATGAGATCTGTCTCGGTGGGCAACCTCACAACGCGGCGATCCCGAATCAAACGACGCCCATATTTGTGGAGGGGATAGTGGAAGACTGCGACGACGATGGTGGAGAAGGCTCTGATCCACCAACTAGGTCGTTTCTTCGGAGACGACTTGATGAGCAGTATCGTCAGGTCGAGCAGTCGATCGGTCAAAAGATGAATGATTTGCTAGAAGCAATACGAAGTAACAACGATACACAGACCAGAATGCTTGAAATATTAGTTAGTAAAGCCTTCGAAGATGGCCAGGTCGGCCAACCTCGGCAGCTCTCGACGAACGTGCCCATACCAGCCGATAGAGCGTCCGCTCGACCGCAACCAGTCACCTTAGAAAGAGGACCAGGAAATAGATCCGAGGGACCAAGCCAGGGAGAAGAAGCCGCCTCCGTGAACATGACCGAAGTCCAGAGAATGATTGATTCGGCCTTGAAGAAAGGGCCGAAGTTTCCAAAATTCATTCATCCATACCCGGCTTACGTAGAAAGGTTTGAATACCCACGGGGATTTAAGATACCTGATTTCAGCCTCTTCGCCGGGGAATCGTCTTTGTCCTCATTAGAACATGTGGCTCGGTTCACGGCGCAGTGTGGAGACGTTAATAGCGACTTCTACAAACTACGTCTGTTTAATTTTTCATTGACAGGCTCCGCTTTCGCTTGGTACATTAATCTTCCACCCAATTCTGTGCAGAGTTGGGAGGAGTTGGTCGAAAAGTTCCATGAACAATTCTATCGGCCAGGGATGGAGATGTCAGTGTCATCCTTGGCCAGGATGGCTCAAGCATCTGACGAATCTCCAATGGAGTACTTAACAAGGTTCAAGTCGGCCAGGAATTGGTGCCGAGTACCACTCCCCGAAGTGGAATTCGTCAGGATTGCTCTCAACGGATTAGACGTGGAGTACAAAAAGAAGTTCCTGGGGGCAAATATTCGCGATATGTACGAACTTGCTCAACATGTCGAACAGTATGATTACCTGCTCCGAGAAGAGAAGGTCTCAAAATCACCATCCCGGGGAACGTTGTATAAAAACCCCACGGTCAGCTATGCATCGGCCGAAAGCGGGGACCCTCAGTACGTCAGTGTGGATGCGGCCGAGATAGTAATAGATAAACCATACGTCTGCAAGGCTCTGGCTCAAGTACACGGCAAAGACACCAAAGCCCATTCAGCCGCCGAGGACATAAGTAAATCTTCAAAAGTATACACTTTCGACATCACCAAGGCCGATGCAATTTTCGATCAATTATTGGCGGCAAAGATCATCAAGCTTCGGCCGGGACATATTATCCCTAAGGCCGATGAATTGAAAGGAAAGATATACTGCAAGTACCATAATTCTAATAAGCATGCAACAAATAATTGTGTCGTGTTCCGGGATACAATCCAAAGTTGGATCGAGAAAGGAAAATTGAAATTTCCGGAAAAGCAGATGGCGGTCGACGTCAATCCCTTCCCTTCAACAACAATTGGTATGGTGGATGCTCATCTTCCTAAAAACAAAGGGAAGGCCGAATACGTTCCGGTGCAGCATATCCGTAAACAGAATGGTCGAACAAGGCTAAAGCTTGATATATTTTCGAATGCACCACCCACGGAACAATCGAGGCCCCTCGCCGATAAGCCTATGGCGGGGTTGAGTTCAGACGAAACTCATGAATCAAAGGTTTTATGTGACCATTGTAAAACACCGGTTGAACCTGGGAAGAAGACATTTTCAACACCACCCACGGTCCCAACCATATCACCAAAGGAAGTTGGTCCGCGACGTCAAGTGTTCGATCGACTCGGCCCACAAAACCAGGCCTCAGTCAGGCGGCGTCTTGACTTCGACGCGCCTTTCTATAATGAGGATTACTACTCGCACAATACCAAGAGTCCCAGCTCGTCAGTCGATCGCAAAACTTTCAAACCACCTAGAACATCGGATCAACGCTGGTACAGTTACAATTCCCCGACTGGTTTGTATACAGCGCTGTCTAAGTCCCAAAAACGTCGCCGTCAACGGATTGATTGCATGGCTCGACGACGAGAAGCGCAAGCCAGCACTGCCAACCAGTGGCAACCAAAGAAGGCCGCGGAAAGGATAAGTGAACGGCCAACCCCGACTATCATGACCGAATTGGCCGAAGGGAAGCAAGTAGCCGCTGCCGGTTTTGAAACCACCATTGAGGATG